ATGCCATTGATTAAGTTTAACTTTTCATTGGTAAGCATGTTTTTTCATGGAAACTGGAGTAGTAGGGTAACCTAGTGGTTAAACTGTTGACACTTGTCACACTGAAGGCCCGGGTTTGATTCCCCACGTGTGTGCAAAGTGTGAAGCCCATTGCTGCTCTCCCCAGCATGATGTTGCTGGAATATTGCTAAAAGCGATGTAAAACCCAACTCTCTCACTTGGAAACCTTTGCTAAATACACTGAAAATCTAATCTCCTACATCCATCGTTGTATATTTACTGTCAAATCAATATCATGGCTAAAAGCAGAAATCTTCCAAACCATTCAATTTGTGCTTGCTTTATCCACACTTAAAAAACAATAAACAAGTTTTAGAACTATTCTGCAATTTTATTCCAAAGACATAATTACTCATAACATATCAAACAACATTCTTTGCATTTCCCAGATACTAAACCTGAAAAAATACTGTAACAGTATCATCTGGAATACAAATGTTCTTTCATGGTCACTCATATAAATTCTCACTGAATTATCTGAGAGTCCCAAGATGTCACAAGACTTTCCACAACACCTTGCTGGTTACAAGCATTTCCTGTTCCAGCAAGTGTCCAAAAGATGATGTGTAGGGCTTTAATATGTTTTATAACTGTATATACAACACTTCAATGACTTGCTGTTTCTTCATTTGCAATGTATATTGCTTGACCACCAGATGTTAAAAGAAATCTGAAGATCTGTTTCAGTTTGTGTTGCTCTTGATGTCAATGGTAATTGTGGTGATAAAGAAAACAGTTCAGTTCCTTACAATGTTGACAGCAAGATATTATTGATAAATTAAGCATGTGGATGTTATGTTTAACTGAACATGCTGCACCATAACCAAATGCTAAATGGGGTTGTAATAATATATTAATCAAGCTTATATTACAGAATACATTTGTAAGAGACACCTATTCAGAGCTATTGGTATCAATCAAAGTGTGGATATAATCATCATTGTTTACGCGCTATTAAATTACTATTTAATTCATTACATTTATTTTTTTAGACTTACACCTGGATTTTCATTGCACATTAAGTTATCTTCTGGATAATTCCAACTGCAAGATACTTTATTTATTAACACAGTTTTTTGGGTACACATGCATTATACCGGATATACCTGCCTTCCGTATTTTATCATGTTTATTAGATCCCCTTTCCGGGGGACAATAAAATCCCACTGTAAGATATTAAATAGACTAAGGCTTAGTCTCTGAATATATATAATTTTGATAGTAACAAACAAGCCCATTTATATTGAAAAGGAGCCCTAGGGAGACCAGAGATTCAGAACCTGAGGAAATCTAGACTTGCTTCATTTAGGGCTTTAGCACTGCAGAGAGAGCTTGGCAGTAGGGAAAATAATGTGGTTTCATTGACTGTGAGACAGACTAGATATTAAATGCAATCAAACGATTCACCAATCTGCACACATGTCAACTCCACCCTTACTGTGCGTACCGTGCTTAAACAATACCAGCCTTTAAATGAAAACAAAGAAATCCATGTAACAAACTTACCTCGACTAATGAATGGGCCAGCCTGAAGACGACGCTGTGACAACTCTGCATCTGTTTGGCAAATCACGTGCTGTTCATGCACCATTGCCTTAGTGCTTTAGCAGTCCATAGTCTGTTACATGGCATAGGTTTCTGATTCACACAGCCAGTGTCGAGTATGATTATCCACGGCATACCCCATGTAACAGTGTTATCGCCATTGCCGAAAAACGTTGTTTGTCAACCTATGCCAATCGTAAACCCCTAAAATCCCAATCTTAGCGTGACGTTACGATCGGCATACCGTTCCACTAACCCCTAAAATCCCAATCTTAGCGTGACGCTACGATCGGCATACCGTTCCACTAACCAATCTTAGCCCTATGCCAATCGTAAACCCCTAAAATCCCAATCTTAGCGTGACGTTACGATCGGCATACCGTTCCACTAACCAATCTTAGCCCTATGCCAATCGTAAACCCCTAAAATCCCAATCTTAGCGTGACGTTACGATCGGCATACCGTTCCACTAACCAATCTTACCTAAGTCAATCGTAAAGTTAAGATTGAAAGTCTAAGTTGCTCATGACCAACTTAGGATAGCTAAAATCAATCGTAGAGAAACCAAAATGGTGGCTTTCCTATTCTGAGTGAAAAATAAGAGCGAGCAATTTCACCGTGAGCGTCCCCTAAAATCCCCCATGAAATGAATTTGTATATTTCTGTGATGTAAACAAACACTGCACTGAAGCCCTACAAATGTCAGGCCAGTCTGACCACTGTCGTCATGGGAACACAACCGAGCGAGTCGGTATAACACATTTGTACAACAATATTGCAACGTCATGGTTAAGAATAGGGACAGCCGTGAAGTGAACAATGTTCTGAAGCAAAGAGATACAAATATGTTTGATTTCACTGCGCATATTTATTCTAAAGGCAGGCCGCGTGTTATTCAAGACCACTGACAGGTTCTACATACGTTATAGCCTCCTCACGGCTTGTTTATTCGGATTGACAAGGTTCAGGCACATATTAAAAGCTCTGACCCAATTGACATTTTTAAAGTTCCGACTTAAAACCTGTTCTCAGTATATTACTTATAATCTCGGCTGTAAATACTCTCGTGTAAATTATCAGTACATAGCGCTTTGAGCATGCCCCAGGATGTGGAATAGGCGCACTATAAATATGCATTTATTATTATTATATTATGCCTGATACCCAGCGTTCACACGCACTTGCACCTGAAACCAAGGGGCTCACTACCCTAATATTTTGCTCTAGTTTTTTTCTCCACGTTTACAGTTGGTTGGAAAAATACCCATGAAGGCCCGGGATAGAATATTGAACTTCAATAACCCATGCTTGTCGTAAGAGGCCACTAACGGGATCGGCTGGTCAGGCTCGCTGACTTTGTTGACACATGTCATCGGTTCCCAAATGCGCAGATCGATGCTCACTGTATTGTCTGGTCCAGACTCGATTATTTATAGCTAAGATACATAGCGTTCACTAACATGAACACTCGGTCCGTCGTCATACCTGGCTCAGCGACCTAATTACCATCTACAGTCTGATCCATTGTTTTCAGCAGCTATTCGTACTTTTCTAAGTTTTGCGCGATTTTACGAGTAAACATGCTTTTCTGGATATCCTATCACGCATCCCACTGAACGCCCAGTTAGGCCGATGTGGGTTATTTCGACATACGCTATTTGCAATGGTGTAAATTTTAGGGATACAGAGTAACAGCCTTTAACAGTTTTTTTCTGTTTCCGACAGTACTTTAGTGCAGTTCACTCCACTCAACCCGCGACAAGTAGATCTGTGACGGCTCATGGACACAGCTTATCCTATTGAGGATCAGTGATAGTATTTATACTAGTTACGAGTACTAGTCCCTCCCGGATCCAAGAGTGAGTGAGTGATTATGGTTTTACGCCGGTTTTAGCAATATTCCAGCAATATCACGGCGGGGAACACCAGAAATGGGCTTCACACATTGTACCCATGTGGGGAATCGAACCCGGGTCTTCGGCGTGACGAGCGAACGCTTTAACCACTAAGCTAAACCACCCCCACCCCCCGGGATCCAAGAGACCGGAGACTTTGTTGTTGGAATGACGTCACATTCACCCATGACCAGTGGATGATTTTACCCATGTGGGGAATCGAACCCGGGTCTTCGGCGTGACGAGCGAAAAATATAAAAAATCTGCAAGGCCTCTCGATCTTTATTTAATAAGAAGGGTATAAGCTACAATCATGCCAAATTTCATGCTTGTAACACGAAGTGCATAACTCAGTGAAAAAACTGCACTTATCCGCCTGGCTATAACGGGATCGGGTTGTCAGGCTCGCTGACCTGGTTGACACGTCATCCTATCTCAGTTGCATATGGGGGCGGTAGGATAGCGTAATGTGCTAAAGCGTTCGCTAGTCACAATATATTTCGATTTTTATTTAAATATTGTCGGTTAAACTTGTCACCTACCACAGCAACTGTTGGGCGTCATTCATGCAGAGGATCATAGATACCGTATTGCAGCTCTCGAACTAGAGCAAGGTTTTAAAGTTCAGTTCTTTTACTGTTATGACGTAGATGTGTGTGATCAGAGACCATATAATATCATGCATGCAATCGATTAAAACTTTATGTAAACATAATCATGGATGATTGGCCTATCGAGCAACACTCATGACACCTACCAATTCTTTATTGTTATTTCTGCAAGTCGATTGAAAACCGATTTTGACTCTCAACTAAACGATCTTGACACAAATGGATGACGATATGTCCGCACACAACAGGGGTGTGGTCGAAGCAAGTCCTCTGATTGGCCAATGCTTGCAAATCTGCACATTATTTATAAATTCGCGGGAATTTTTACTTTCATCGTCTGCTTGACCACACCCTCGTTTTGTGCCAACGAATACTTGCAAGTAAATCTTGAGATTAGCCATGTGATGATACGTTTAGCGAGCATCGGGGATATTGGCAACTGTAATGTTAAAACTGCCTTTACCTGACTGGGTTAGTTTGATTTTTGTATTTTTGGTTTATATTCTCTGTCCTGTCGTAGTCTGTAAATTCTCCAAGTAAGTATCGAGGTCCAAGTCGGAATCATCCCAGTGAATGAATTAAGTCGTCCATGGCCATGCCAAATGTTGAAACAAATATTCCAGGCCAATGACGACACGCATTTCGCGAATGATACATGTTCTGCGATGTTGTCAGTTGACATGTGCAAATGAGAGATAAGATAAAAATTAAGATTATTGTAATCAGTTTATTGGAGCTGTCCATGTAATGTTTAACTGTCAAACGCAGCCGGTGAAATCCCGCTAAGGGAATTAACTCTCGGCCCGGATATTACGCAATATTGATTACGTGGCTGCCAGAGTGCTCATTTGCGAATGTCTGCGCATCTGTTGCGCATGTGTACCGGTAGAGGGAAGTTAGCAGCAGGGTGTCGATGTGTATCAGTTACATGCCAGGCCGTAGCGCTGATGGTTAGTGATAAACTGTTGGGGAGGGCCGTCCCTTTATTATATGGTCTCTGGTGTGATGTGCAGCTCTAGAATTCCACTGTCGACCATGGCGACCAACACGAGCAGCAAGCGAAAGTTCATCATTGATACAGATGCAGGCATTGACGATGCTCAGGCGATACTGATGTGTCTCGCGGCGTCTGACGTCGAGGTCGTCGCTATTACTGCAGTCGCGGGGAACACGTCGGCAACACAGGTGGTGAAGAACCTTCTCAGGCTTCTCAAGGCGGCCGGTAGGCCTGATGTACGTTTGACATAAATGACATGATATTTTTATCAAAATGTCTATTTTCCACAAGAAAACAAATTACTGTCTCAGTAAATTGTCTAAAATGAATTTTACAATAAAAACAGTGTTCATAAATGAATCAACACGATTTATTGATGCCATACTTAACATGCTCACATTAACATGCATCACACAAGACAGCTATAGTGACCTCCCGATCCCGTTATTCGACCCTCGTATAAGAACAAGTTGCTGCTGAGGACCATTTCAAAACCGGTGCTTCACGGGGCGTTTCTTATCTGTCCCCAGATCCAGATCTTCAGACTCTATGAGGGCGGCGGGGTAGCCTAGTGGTTAAATCGTTCGCTCGTCACGTCAAAGATCCGGGTTCGATTCCCCACATGCGTACAATGTGTGAAGCCCATTTTTGGTGTCCCCTGCCGTGATATTGCTGGAATATTGCTAACTGCGGCCTAAAACCCAACTCATTCATGCATTCAGACTCTATGACAACATGTTATACATTTCCTGTCTCACATATCCCGATCTATAGAAGTTTTGGTGACATTCAGTAATTTGTTATCTGCCACCAGATCCCCATCTACAGAGGCTGTGAGGACATGCTGCTTGGCTGGCAAAAACCTGACGACTGCAACTACCACGGCAAGGACGGGTTTGGAGACGTTCCTGACCCCGTCCCACCTAATCCCGACCAGGTCCAGGCCAAACACGGGGTACAAGCACTGGTTGACATCACCAAACAATACCCAGGTACCAAAGCCAGGGAGGCAGCACTTCACACCGAAACATGATTCTCATTAACCAATTCAAACAATGACCTACTTTTCAGGCAATCCGAACTTTCTCGATGAAAGTGGAAGGAGACATTTCAAACAACTATGGTTACACTGAATTCTAATTCCTTGTTTCATAAGCAAATGGCATTTACAATTGATTTTAATTTTAAACTTTAATCAAATCGTATTTTTATAGTTTATGGCGAGGTTTAAGCAGCATGACCTTAACTAAGACGTCACAGACTGCCCGTTTGACGAGGTCGTAATTCACAATTCATCTGGCTCACTGGTTACACCTGTTTTGTGTAACGTACAATGCGATTGATATAATATAGGGCAGGACACAAACCTGATATTCCTTCAAAAACCATTTGTTTTTGATATCTGAGAGAGGTATACACAATCTATACATGAAATGAAAGCTTGTGATCTGAGCATTAAGAAAAAAAATGATGTGGTGAAATTTATGTGGACATTTTCTTATAAAAACGTTTTTATGTCACACCAATAAAGTCTGTAGAGAAACTCTGCCGTAAAATGAGTCATCAAGAAAACAGTACTACCAGTACTTCCTGCAGTTAAGCTGGGCCCCGTCTCGCATATCGCAATATTCGAACCACTCTCCTACCCAGAGTTCCATGCGGCAAGCCAGCATAGTACCTCTGCCACAGGCCAGAAAAATGTGACGATTCATCACATCTTGCACCGTCCATTCAATATAATGTACAGATTTCTTTTACTCTTTTATTTTTGACGAGTCTACACATCTAACTAAACATCTTTAATAGAATGGTTTAGATTCACTGAGAAAATATCCAAAAACGTGTAACACTATTTCGATTTGCGTAGCGATCCTTTGTTTACACAGGTTGTACGGCTCCACGTGCTGTCATCGAAGCCAACAGAGAGCAAACGATGCAGCCAGTTTGATATCTAAATATGTACTGTCATAGGCCTAACCGTCGCAGTTGGGAAAGAATATATACGTAACAATGTAAAACATTATGAAGAGAGCGCCGAAAAGCTCTCGTGAGTCCAGTCTCTTCTTATTATGAATATGCGCGTTTGAATACAAACAAGAGAAAAGTCCGGTCACGTGATATGCAAATTAGCCTGTGGCAGTGATGTTATGTTAAGTCATCGCTGTGCCGGAGTGTGTATTCGAACTTGCTTTGTCGAACGTTAGCACGCGCAAAGGGAGCCGGGAACTAGCTTATTCCTGCAGTCTGCTGAGACCACTTCCTGTCCTAGCAGTGTTGACATTTGGAACTTGACAGCTTGTTAAATCTTTTTCCAAAGATTTTCATTCGAAGCATTGACAAGTCTTCAGAGTTCTTCAATATCATTATTGAGGTAAGTTGTTTTCTAATTGTGTACATTTCCACAGAACCTTATGTTTCAATGATAGAAATTACAGAAGATTACCAGTGGGTTAGTTATGCACTAATCTTGTTTGATGATAAAATTTTGAAATGCATTTCAAATAGGTAATTTGTTATTGTACCTGATATCCTAAGGTATTTTCATGGCATTTTACATGTTTAAAGTCAACTGTTTCATTGACAGATTTCTAGATAACTAACTCTAAAGTTTTAACTGATGAAACTCCTTGAGAGGCCATTTTAAGGATGAAAATATTCATCAAATCCTATTCAGAGAATCATATGCTTGATCTTTCTATTATTGGTCCAATTATATTTAAGATATTATAAAATTATGATTTTATTAGGTTTTTGATGATTCTTTTCAAAGAAGTTTTGAAAAAATGTACAGATAACATTCTGAAACCCTGAGAGGGCCACCCTGTATAAAATGCATTGTCAGTGTAAGCAATATTTCCCTACAACTTAATATTACCCGATTGTGATCCTCAACTAAAAAAACACACCAATTTTAGCAATAAATATGTTTTGAAGTGATTTTTAAAGAAGATATGTTGATTATAAAAATGTAGAAATGAAATAATTTCTTTCTTAACGTATATAATTTCCCCAAACATAATTTTGTTATATATGTATTTTTTTTTCAACCAAAATATAAACACTACCTTATAATTTGACAGGACAATTTCTTCAAAAAATATTAATTAGATTGAATTATATTTATTAACATAGATATAATTCAATATGTGCATGCTGTCCAAAATTATTTTCACTAAAATACCTTTTAATTTATATTTGAATTTTTTTGGTAAAATTTAACAAGAAAATTGATTGCAAAGGTTTTTTTCAAAACTGTGCATTAGATTACTTTATTTGTTAAACTTTTACCTTTAATAGTTTCACATACATTCTTTTATTTATTAATAATATCTTGATTTTTTAAAATACAATGTACATATTTAAAAAAAATTTGCTATAATTTTCATGTAGCATCATAATGAAAGCTTGTATTTTTTAAAAAGACATTTCCCTTTTTGAAATAGTTTTTCTCTTGTTTTTATTGATACATTACGAATGTAAACAAATTTAATGATTAAATTTAAACTTATACAGATACATAAGTGCCCAATTCTGTCAAGATAGGTCAAGTCCAAAATTGAACACTTTCACGTACCTTTTAGGTATGTATGTATTTCACAGTACATGTAGTTTCGCATACAGTCACATATATTCAGGGATGAGATCCTAACTTGTTTTATAATGAATATTAAACATAACAAAAGCCCTTATTTTGTTGTGTCAAAATGAAATTTTTGTTTAAGAAGGGCATTTCATGAAATGATTTTTCATGAAATGATTTCCTCCCTGAAACAATGATATATTTTAAATCTTTGAAGATTTCAAATAAAGTCACCTCAATCAAAAGTTTATTTTCCATTAATTTTTTTCATTCAGGTATATTTCTGAAAACTTAAGCAATGGAGCCAAAGCCAGTGCAGTTTGGACAAGTCCAAAAAAGATCACTCTCTCATGAGCCTTTTAGATATATATATCTCTATATATAGTATCACAGAAGTTACACCTACATTGACTTATTTATTGATAAAATCCTACCTTTATTTGTAAGACGTATTTACTTTAAATGTTGCTCTTAACCCAAATCATAATGACATTTCATGTTTAAGAAAGGAATTCTCTTTATGAGTGAGTTTAGTTTTGCACCGCTTTTAGCAACATTTCAGCACTATCACGGGGGGGGACACCTGAAATGGACTTCACACATTGTACCCATGTGGGGAATCAAACCAATGTCTTCAGCGTGATGAGCGAACGTCTTAACCACTGTACTACCCCACCACCCACTCTCTTTATGAAATATGTTCTACTGTTAATAAATGTAAGAAGATTTAATGATGAAACTTTCCTTATTTCAGGTTAACTTCAAATAGAAATGGACTTAAAGGGGCCAAGTCCAAAAGAGTAAACATTCATCTGCCGAGTACTGCATCATAATTAGTGCTCGAACAAATTTATCACCTGGAGAATTACAATCACTGCCCAATTGAGCCAAGACGATGTTTTTTACCAGACTTGTGCAGTTGTTTGGAAATGATCTTTGTGGTCAGGATTTGCTTTATTATAGATGTTTCTTAGTGAAGATGGGACTGTTCGACTTGTGCATTTGCACGCAGAAATGGTCTTTAGAAGACCATTATGTCTGACAGATTGTCGTGATGATGTCACAATGGCTAAGGTTCTCGCACATCCCATAGTATCAGCTCCTACATTACTTTTCAATGAAGATGGATCAAGGAGGAAGACATCCAATGCCGATTTGACAGACAAATTAGAAGAAATTGTACAGAATATTGACACTTTACCAGACTTTGACAAAAAGACACTGTCCACATTCGCGATACAATGGCAATATTGATAAGTATGAAACCTGCCATTCCCTCCGCGTTGGATAGTGTTGCTGACAGTTATATGCAAAATATGAAGCAGTGTTTCACAAGGGCTGATACTGTCATAGATATGTTCGACCAGTATGACAATCGCAACTCCACTAAGTCTGGAGAACGTTCACGAAGGGCTGACCTCAACACCGGCAAGAAGTATCAAGTGTCATCAGGCAGACAGGTTCCACAGTGGAACAAGTTTCTTGGTGTATCTGAGAACATGTCACAGTTAACAACGTTTTGTGTACCAAAGTCCAAGTTGCTACAATGTCAACAGAACAACAAGGAGGATTGTATCTCTCATGAAGATATGAAGATGGAATGGTGACCAAGTTGATCCCTCCCACTGGTGATGCTTGCATTGATGCACTTGAATGTTCTCAAGAAGAAGTTGATACATGCATGCTCTTAAACGCCATGTACTGCAATGGTGAGTTTGAAGAGAGTCATACCCAAGGAAGTATCATCATCAAGTCCCCTGATACAGATGTTCTCATACTATATATCTGCTATTGTCCACAAATGGAGCATGTCCATGAAAACTGGAGTGTCTTCTGAAGTCACGGACAAGCACCGGTTCAATCATGTCCATAACATCTGCCATCTTCTTGGATCATCAATGTCATTTGCTTTGCCAGGAATCCATGCCTTTACTGGCTGAGATACGTCATCAGCATTATTTTCATGTTGGCAAGAAGACAAAGACAAAGATGAAAGATAAAGATCTGTTTTCAAGTCATCAAGTCTTATCTTCAGGAAACCTTGATGCAGCAGTGGAGGTCTGCAGGCAATCTAACGTCAGCCTTGTATGACCCCAGGAAGAAGGTTAAACCACCTCATTCATTTTAATGACATGAGATTTCAACAGACATTGAGCTTGCCAAACTTCCCTCATGCGAAGACAGCTTTCGACAGCACGTTAAGCGTGTGATGCGGCAAACTAGCATCTGGACAAGTTCTCATTGTGGTAAACCAGAGTTTGGTAACCTTGAAGATTTTGCCTGGACTAGGGTGAATGGATTGCTCAACCCACATTGTTTGAACATCAAACTGCTTTGGAAGTTCTTGACTGCCTTGTTTGCACCTGCTGCAAGTCCCCATGCTCCTCGGTGTGGTGCATTTGTAGACAGAGCAATCTGTATTGAACTGTGTCCTTGCAAGCGTGGACAGAATTGCACTAACACCATGAATGATCTTGGTGAAGATAACCAGTGACAATGAAGAATGACCTGTGTAATAATCATATTCCTTTTCCAAGTTGTTAGTTATTACAATAACCTTTAACACAAGACATACTATTGCTTTACAAAAAGAACAGCAAGTGAATCTAGTTTGAAGGATTGTTGGTTCCTAACACATTACACTTATATTTCAGTATCTTTAACAATGTTCTATTTTAGAGATATTAATGTATCTTTACCTGTAATGATGATAGTGATGAGTGATTAAAAGGTAATTTTGAAATTATACCAATTAGATTTATTATTCTTCTACTGTATCATACCTGACAAAAAAGGACCGAAAATTACATTTTTTACCCAAATTTTCAATCATGCAATGAAAATTTTATGTCTAAATATTGCAATCACTATTATTTTTCTATTGTACAGAGAGCAACCTTTCATTTGATGGTGAATTTGTTTGAATGGGGTCAATAGTTTGAAAATTAATAAGGATATTTGGAAAATTATGATTTTTAGTGTTTTTGACCCAAAATCCGGTTTTACCAGAAAGTGTCCACGCAAATATTTCCACATCATGTCTTATATTATTCTATAGGTCTTCAGCTTTAATTTGATATATAGATCATGTATACCTCTCAATTTGATCAAATCACCCCCCAAAATGGGTTTGTTTCCTGCCCTAATACCAAGTCCGTACCAGACCGCCAAACTTTTCCAGCGGCCGAGCCTCGTTTTGAGATTTCCAGATTTCCGTTTGTCAGAGCACGCTGTACGACAAAGCATGCTGCACAGCGTGTTTGCAGGGATTAGAAGGAGTGTAGTGTTGCAATATACAAGTGATTAGATGTATCAAATAATACTGATTATATTCATATATCCATTTGAATGAGTTGGTCTCAAAATTCTGAACTGGTTATTGTACTAAGTTGCGCAATAGGACGGAACCCAGTCAGCAGGAAACGAGACTGTTGTGTAATCAATGTTTTGACTTGTGTCTGTTTATTGAATTAATGCTGCACTCAGCAATATTCCAGCTATATGGCGGCTGTCTGTAAATAACCGAGTCTTGACGGGACAATCCAGTGATCAACAGCATCGGTATTGATCTACACAATTAGGATACGATGAGATGTGTCAACTGAACACGAGGATACATGCAACTGCAGCCGTGTTTTGACTCCGTTAACAAACGGTTATAAAATTATCTGAAAGAATTTGTGGTCCTTAGACAGCATTCAGGCGATCTAAAACAGAACTTTAAAACTCTGTGGTCTAATTCTAGTCATGATTGGAAAGACAAAAATCGAATTTTCACCTACGCACACGATACGATGTGAGGAATATAAGATGTTGAAATCATTTACTACTCTTTCCAACTACCAATCATTTAGGTAAAGCAGGTACTCCCAGAAATTCCGGCCTAATGTGTGTATAGGGAATACACTTCCAATGGAAATATATGTTAGAAAAGACGGATTCATGAAACGAGCGTGTTCGTTTCGGTGGGCAACGGAAGTAATTTTGACAGATGGATCTTGTCATGTGTTGGAATCCCAGAATTATTCTCGGTTTGTCGGCGCTACATTTGTGCGCGATGGTTTCTCCAAGTGGTATACGTCACAGTTTCGGGGATTTTTCATGCAAACGATCATATCAACCATTTCACACACTGATTTGTTTCCCAGGAGAAATCACTCTGGTAGCTCTTGGGCCACTGACGAACATTTCCATGGCTATCCGGATGGACAAGCAGTTCGGAAGCAGATTGAAAGACTGTTTCATCATGGGCGGTAATTATAGAGGTGAGTATATGCCACGTGTATCACATACATTCTGTTACTATGGTGTTAGAGCTACGGGGCTACAGCTCACCTTTAGGTGTAGCCAAAGACGGCCACTTTATACCTGTAGACATTCTGTTGGTTATATAACACTTAAACGGGTTCTTTTGTGAAGGTAAAGATATATCCTGAGATATTATGTTCATATTTTAACCAAGAAATATTCAATCAAAGATATTGCACTTTCCATGCAATATATACATAGTCGTTCAGTGTATGATACATGTTTGAATCTCAAAAAATCAAATGCAAGTTTAAACCTACTGCATCTGAAACGAGTCATGCATAGTCGCAGATGTACTGGGATAGTGTAAGATATCGTTCTACATTTATCTGGTGCTAATATAAATAAGACAGGGGCGTTTTCTTTACCTCCATTCTGTTCTATGGTTTATTAATGGTAGAATGTTTTTGGTGTATGATCCTGTCAAAGACTGACAATCATGAGTAGGTTGCACTGAATTACATGATACAGTTCACCTCCAACATGAATCCCACTACTAAAACCAAACATACACCAAAACACAGGAATGAGCTAATCGTTACTTACAGCTATTCGAACCACCGTGGAAAGATATGAAAATACTTTATTTTCAGATGGGAAATTGTGGCTGCATCGAAAATGAACATAAAACATAATGCATAAAGAAACAATGCATGGCGTTTATGAAGGGAGTTGTGCATCAAAAGCTTTGTACAGCACTGAGAATGTAACATAAATCATCGTCTAAAATTAAGTAACAGAATCTAAAACAGACTGCGAATGTTATAAGACCCAACTGTTCCACATATTACGGATAGATTTATATTAGAAACTGGTATACTGGCTAGGATAAAACACGGCAAGATAAAATTAAATATGCAGCGAAAGGTATAGCACCATAGGGGTAAAAACCATCGTTGTCAAGAAATATATGCTAAAATAACATCATAGAAGGTAAGACAGAACTGTTTGCATTCGTGACCAGTCAACTGGAAACACATCTGTTCCATGACAAAGTTGCTTTGATAATGGATATTAAGATACCTAATCTCTGTTGTGACATCATGGAATTACCCTTTACAGCCGAAGGCAACATCACAGCGAGCGGGGAGTTCAACTTTTACAGTGACCCGGAGGCTGCCTTACATCGTGCTGAACTCCCTGGGATGCCCCATCACGTTGACCTGTTGGGAGCTCTGTCTAGACTGTTTCTTTCCCTGGGTAGCTCCTTCTTTCTAGACGTCTTTACAATCCTTCTTTCCCTGGGTACATCTTTACAATCCTTCTTTCCCTGGGTACGTCTTTACAATCCTTCTTTCCCTGGGTACGTCTTTACAATCCTTCTTTCCCTGGGTACATCTTTACAATCCTTCTTTCCCTGGGTACGTCTTTACAATCCTTCTTTCCCTAGGAGGGTCTTACCAATCCACTATTTTTACCTTCTTTCCCATGGAACCACTACTCTTGACCTTTTCGCCATGGTAGGTCTTAACAAACGACTACTCTTAACAATCCAATGCAGTTTGAATCTTTTTTCCTTGAGTATTCTATAGCCATATCCAGTACGTTTGACATATTTCCCCTCAGTATATCCAACCATATCCAATACCTGTGACATGTTTCCCAACGGTATGAACTATAGTGCGTATGGCTCAAAATCGGACCGATGAATTGCAATCTAACTCGAAAACTAATAAACATATAATACTCAATGAAACGCTGATCATAATTAAAACGTCAGACCAACTCTGTGAGGTTTTTGCAGAATTTATATCCTAAAAATAAAAAAGTTGTTTAACAAACTATCATTAAAATTGTGACACAGTTCACTATTTCTTACGAGGGAGGAGTGCAGAGAAAGGGACAGCCAGGTGTGCGAGAAAATATGGCACAGCACAGGTTAATGAATCAATAGCTTGGTGGGCACTTGTGCACGTGCTTCTCTAACACCTGGCTGTCCCTTTCTCTGCACTCCTCCCTCTTAACAAATAGTGAACTGTGTCCAAATATTTTAATGATAGTTTGTTAAACAACTTTTTTAATTTTAGGACATAAATTCTGCAAACAAACCACAGAGTTGGTCTGATGTTTTGATTATGATAAGCGTTTCATTGGGTATTATATGTTTATTAGTTTTCGAGTTACATTGCAATTCATCGGTCCGCTTTTGAGACAAACGGACTATACCAAGTTCAATTGGCTAGCGCTCGCTCATCGCAACCAGGATTCGGGTTCGAAGCCTATCTGTGGTGCGCCCTCTTGTGATATTCTGGAATGCTGGTGAAAGCGACGCACGCAGTTGTATGACTGTTCTGTGTTCCAGGAGGTGCATGAAGAATTGAGAAGCTTTACATCTGTGAAATGCGAGCTCTTGAAAACACTTGAACATGCCATAGTAACTCAATGCAAGGAAGAAGGCCGGAAGTACGAGGTTGCAGACGAGATGGCAATGGCGTGCGCTCTTAATGATGACGTCATCACAAAAAGTGATGACGTGTACGCAACTGTGGAACTGCATGGTAACATGACCAGAGGTCAAATGGTTGTTGATTGGAGAAAAGTGCTGGCCAGGAAACCAAATGTGAGACTTGTGCTTGAGATGAACAAACCAATATTGAAGACGATGCTGTTGAAAGCATTTGAAGACTAGTTATGAGTGAGGGAAACTACTGGAGATAAAATGTGTGAAGCCCATTTCTGGTGTCCCCCGCCGTGATATAGCTGGAATATGGTTAAAAGCGGCGTAATACTGAACTCACTCACTCACTACTGCAGATAATCGAGATTCTTTCAAACCCGACGCCCACTTGAACGAAAACCAGTCGGGTTTGTTAAGATTATAAATGTGTTATATACCAAGTCACGCTTATATTCAAACGCATACATGACTATATATATGTATTATTAAAACAGAAGCGTATTCACTAGTTAGATCCTCTTGCAGTTTAGCCATTTCTAGGAGCCAGGAATCTCCACAGTGAGAGGAAATAAATACGGGCTTGTCGTCAGACATTTGAACACGTCAGGCCGCGTTTATCCGAGCAGTGCCGTGTTTCATAATAATAGTGAAACGCTCGGTTTGCTGAAGCAAGTCCAATACACCACGCTGCATTAGAGTTACTTTCCCACGGAATTGATGCATTGAGACAAAGAACGTACAGTGGAAGCTGTCTAAACCGGCACACGTCGGGACTCAATAAATAATCCGGTTTCGACAGCGTGTCGGAATGTAGAGCTGACACGGTAACCTACAACTAGAACTAAACCAGTTTTATCACTCTCATATACATTGTTGTATAACGTGGTTCTCTCAATTTCTCTCTCAACTCACTAATAACATGTACAAGTACACCTTCCTTGCCACGTGCCGGATTAGACAGCGCTGATTACTGTATAAACACATATTCGGGCGGCTCATTTCATGCCGAGATCCGGAATTGACAGCTGCCGGATTGCAGAGGTTTTAAATGATGATAAATGTACTAGCCATGGACGGGATTTTATACCGATGTTGACAACTTGCCGGATTGGACAGCTTCCACTGTATACCGTGTATCACCGTAGTCGGGGGTTCGGTCACACACACACACACACACACACACACACACCTCTTGAAAATGACTAAAGACCTCATTGAAGTTAATGTTTTGAGTGAGGTCTCGGAATATATGCATCGGCTGCAGCACTAATATAGATCAACCCATTCTAACTTTATTCTTATTTTATCTTTCTTAAATGTTCCAACATTATTTTCTGCTGTCAATTACTTTTTCACTCATTTGCCAGAAAACACGTCAGCAGCTAAATTCAGGGATAATTGGTAATCGTATAGACTTACGAGTTAATTTAAAGGTCACATGCAACGTAAAACACAACTTTGCAGATTCTGATACCTTTCGGTATGGACTTACCGAAACAAAGCGTCAAAAATGCAAATTCAACTTACAAAGTTGAAAAATAACGCGATGAAAAAAAACGCGCGAAATCGGAGTTGAAACGTTTCACTAAATTTCCCCCGACTTTTCTGGGGAAAACGGGTTTCTGGGGAAAGCTGGGCTGCGCTCATAGCATGTGCGCAGTGAAATAGGTTCGCGCAACTTGAAAGCGGGTTGTCCGGTGAATACTCGGTGAAGGCTTTGGTGTGATCTATTTTTCTAATGTTTTGTTGATATCTCACAGGCGCGAGCTTTTTATATGTTATGACAGTAAATTAACTGTTTATATAATTTCATTTGTCTATTTCACCACACGTTCTTCTTACCGAGTCACTTTCTCAGTTCGATACTTAAAAGCAATGTCATTATTTAGCGTTGACAGAATTTCTAACTGTGATATAGATATGTCGTTGTCTCAGACAAAACTCAATGTCTTGTTTTATTGACACCTGTGTGTCTGCCTGCCTGTCTGCTAATGACAATATTCAATACACAGCTGCTATCACTGACCACATGCAATTTGAACTTAACACCAATCAGGCTATACACCATAAACAAAATGCATTGATTTATGACCCGAGTTCGGTCTCTGTCACATTATGTAATTACACAGACAGGCAGGTGTGATACTTGAACACATGACATGTTATGATGTCTGTTGATTTCAAAATGTTATACACAAAAAATGAGCATGTATTTACAAAACCCAACATCTCTATATATACACACACAATGAGCATCTGCAAATGAACCAGCTGTTACACTTGAGTGCACACCCACCCGCTCTGACTGGGTTCGGTATCCCGGCTGCTTCGTTTCTTGGGAAGTAAACCGAAGTACACAATATTGCACTTTTGATTTGCGATTGTACGCTTATAATTTTGTTTTATGTTTTTTCATAACCAGCAATGTATATTATAAGTCATGAATAAGTGATAATTGTGTTTTAATTATGTTTGATTTTTGGTTGCATGTGACCTTTTTAACAATAAAATGTTACCATTCATTTCTAATTAAATTGCATTTTTTTAAAAATCATTAAAAACATCTGATTGTTAGTAGGGGTGAAACGGTACGCTCTTACCACGGTACGGTACGTATTGCGGTACAAGGCCTTCGGTTCGGTCCGTCTCGGTTCGGTATATGAGAACTTACTTCCGAGAAAACAGCGGCCGTCTGGCAAAAAAATGCATAGATTTTAACAAAATGATTTATTTCTAGACATTTCAGAAAAGGTTAATAAATGACAGTACGAAAACCGAAAATACCGAATTTTTGGATTGCATCACGGAATACCGAAACGAAGGCAAAATACCGCGGTTCTACTCATACCGCGGTATACCGTTTCACCCCTAGTATCAAGGTATATATACTGGACAAAATAAGTTAGGGATATTGGTATATTAAGATTGATATTTTATCAGTGTGTCAATGAATGAATAAATCTTTATTCATAATTTCCAAATTTACATATATCCCTAACTATTTTTGTCCAGTATATTTTCACTGACGGGGTCTTATCACAATATACAAGGAAGGGGATGTAAGGAAGTTAATACACCGAGTTCAAATTCAACGAATTTATCGGCGCTTACTTTGTATACCCTACAAAACCAGGTCACCGACATCTAGAAAAGGGACTCGATTCATCCAGTTTCATTTTGTTACAGTGCAGACTTAGGACGGTGCAGGGTTGTGGCGGCATGTTTATGGTGCAGGCTTGTGACGCCTACTTGTGGTGCAGTCCCTCAACGAATGCATCAACATTGCCACTTTAATATACGCTGCACTGCACATCAGAAAATGCAGTCATGCCTTAACAAATAGTAATTATTTTCTTGTGTTTCCCTTTGATTAATATTACATGTGAGAAATATAAAAAGGACAACTGTACTCGAGCCTTTTGGCATAACAGAGGAGTATGCTGGAAATAATGCTCACGCGCCCACGCCTGCAGCTCAGACAATCGTCAAAAGAAAGTAAGAAGTTAGGCCAGACAAGCATAACTTGGCTAAACCCCAGTGTCCAGAGAATGCAACCGGTACGTGTCCTGCAAAAAAACGATGACGCCGATGAAACATTCTTCACAGAGAGACCCGTGAAGATCTGGGTTAGAATTGATCTTCAGTAACCCATGCTTGTGAGAGACGACTAACGGGACCGGATGGTCCTGCTCGCTGGCTTGTCAGCTTGTCAGTTCCCAATTGCGTAGATCGAGGCTCATGCTGTTGATCACTGGATTGTCTGGTCCAGACTCGAATATTTACAGACCGCAGCCATATAACTGGAATATTGCTGAGTGCGGCATAAAACTAAACTCACTCATTAACCCAAAAGTAGATTCAGGTCTTTAATTCAAACTTCAGTGGACAAATAGTTCTTTTACTACTTTGTGTTTACTTTGGAAAGCCATACCTATTCACAATCACCTGGATTTGAATAAGTCACCGCTGAGGAGAAAGCAACATGCATGCTTTTATTAAGGTTAGGTAACACAACACAATTTATACAAGTGGTAACGTCACTCCTCATATTCAGTTGAATATCTTAACATGCTAGTATTTTCATTCTATGACTTTTCTCGAGTTTCTCCGAAAGAACAACATATATCAATTGTTTGATGTGCTTGAAAAGTACGTGCCTCCTACTGACTCTTGAACGAGAGTGGTAACTAAAAATGAGGCTATATTAATATTCCAAAGTTTTCATAAAAAAATGTTTATGTTCAAAACATGTTGAGACTTTGAAATGAGAACCTGGCATTTGCTATAAATGACCTAACGTGTTTAGATAAGAATGCATACTACTTCTGTTCGTTTTGGGATGAACCGCCTCCGTGGTGTAGTGGTTAGAGCGTCCGCCCGGAGAGCAGGAGGTCGCGGGTTCGATCCCCGACCGCGTCATACCAAAAGACATTAAAATATGGTACTTGTTGGTCCCTGCCTGGCGCTCGGCATTAATGGGTACAACAAGGACTGGTCGGCTCGGAGTCAGTACAATGTGTCTGAGTGGGGTATTCATGCTTCACTGCGGCATGGTATCTCAGTGGGCTAGCACTATAAAACCAGCTTAAGTCTGGGCTAGTACAAGCAGCCGCACATACACATACACACGCATGCACGTTGTCATATGAGAGAAATATTCTCAAGTACGACGTTAAACCCAATTTCACCTCACCTCACCTCACCTCACCTCACCTCACCTCACCTCCTTTTGGGATGTACAAAACTCCCAATTACCTAATAGTATTTTACTCTTTAATACATTTTCACAGATTATGAAAGTGGTTTTCTCTTGAGAAAACAGCCATTTACAATTCGTGACAGGTGATATTGAAGCAAATTTACAATGTAGTATATATCTAGTAATGTGATGTAATAGTTTGCCAGTGACTATAATAATAAAACGTTTAATGTGAATCTGAACAGTGTATTGTTCAAATCAAACAGTGTGTTTATGTACGTACATGCAGAAAGTAATAGCTGACAGGAGGAGACAGGGAAAATGAACTCTTGCCTCATGATATCAATTAAAACACACACACACACACACTCTCTCTCTCTCTCTCTCTGCTTAATACGACCAGGGTCCCGTTCCTCAAAGCGATCATAGCGCTACGCTTGTCGTAAGTCTATATTAAAGTACGAACACCTTAGCGCTACGATTGTCGTAAGTTTATGTTTAAGTACGATCGTCATAGCGCTACGATTGTCATAAACTCTATATTAAAGTACGATCATCATAGCGCTACGATTGTCGTAAGTCTATGTTAAGTACGATCATCTTAGCGCTAAGATTGTCGTAAGTCTATGTTAAAGTACGATCATCACAGCGCTACGATTGTCGTAAGTCTATGTTAAAGTACGATCATCACAGCGCTACGATTGTCGTAAGTCTATGTTAAAGTACGATCATCACAGCGCTACGATTGTCGTAAGTCTATGTTAAAGTACGATCATCACAGCGCTACGATTGTCGAAAGTCTATGTTAAAGTACGATCATCTGAGCGCTACGATTGTCGTAAGTCTATGTTAAAGTACGATCATCACAGCGCTACGATTGTCGTAAGTCTATGTTAAAGTACGATCATCACAGCGCTACGATTGTCGTAAGTCTATGTTAAAGTACGATCATCACAGCGCTACGATTGTCGTAAGTCTATGTTAAAGTACGATCATCACAGCGCTACGATTGTCGTAAGTCTATGTTAAAGTACGATCATCACAGCGCTACGATTGTCGTAAGTCTATGTTAAAGTACGATCATCTTAGCGCTACAATTGTCGTCTATGTTAAGTCTATGTTAAAGTACGATGATCTTAGCGCTACAATTGTCGTTTAAGTCTATGTTAAAGTACGATCATCTTAGCGCTACGATTGTCGTAAGTCTATGTTAAAGTACGATCATCTTAGCGCTACAATTGTCGTTTAAGTCTATGTTAAAGTACGATCATCTTAGCGCTACAATTGTCGTAAGTCTATGTTAAAGTACGATCATCTAAGCGCTACGATTGTCGTAAGTCTATGTTAAAGTACGATCATCTTAGCGCTACGATTGTCGTAAGTCTATGTTAAAGTACGACCACCTTAGCGCTACGATTGTCGTAAGTCTATGTTAAAGTACGACCACCTTAGCGCTAGGGTCGCTTTGAGGAAAGGGATCCAGCAAAGGCCTGAACATTATGTTTCACAAGTTCTTCACTTCTCCAGCTTCATAGACACACTATTCTTGCAAGCCAAACTTCATTTGTCACTTCACATACTTCCTTTGTCGTCATGTTTATTAGTATACTCAGCCGACGTCTTATTTCGTTATGTATGCGTCGTTTTGTTGAGACAGCATCGTAAACATTGTGCATAAAGATAGTACAAAGCAGGAGTGACTATTTTTAGTTTCGTATATTTATATTATATTAGTTTCGTATCATATTTTTAGTTTCGTATCACTGGGCTGTGCTTTTAACTACTAATATTGAATATTGTTTTTGTCTCGTGCAACAAGTTTGTACGAGGTGCAAATCAGTTTCATTTCCATAAATCGAGCTCTGCAATAAATTAGCGCGTTTTGGGTTTATTCAGATTTCAGTTTGGATATATTTCCATATATATACGACACTGATAATATCAAACTCAGACCCTTTAGTGAAAGTGTGCTCAAGGTATGACCTCTCTTGTTTCATGATGGCAGGGGCAGTTATATATATTATAGGTAATAGGAGCATAGCCCTGTCAGACACCTCAGCAAACAGCAACAAACATGGAAAGTTCTGTAGACTAATTACACATTATGCTTAAAAACCGAAGACCACAAATAAGGTAAGATAATTTCCATGTACTTAAAACAAAATGACATATGTGCCCTGATCACTTTAATCTAGTGATAGTAATCTCTGATGAATATATCATTACCTCACCAACATAATTAACCCCAGGTCTTTGCGATCAAACATTATTCCCAAACCAAAGTTCATTTGTATTTTAGTTATATTTTAGCAAGATGTTGTTTGGACAATACACAAAACAATTTTTAACATCCGTCTATATCTTTTTTATGGTATACTTGTATAAAATAGTTACGTCATATAATTAGTTTTCCACATAACTGATAATCAGATGAAAGATGGTAATTAAAGTTTGGTTATTTACATTTTGGTAATGCATTGATAGATTTATTCATTACCACTTTGGAGATAAAACGATATGTATTAATAAAAATTGACATATGGAAATATATATAAATTGTTTAAAGCTGTAAACAGCTGTAAAACATTAAGCATGGGCAAATGTATAATCGATATTAACCAAACACTTTTACTTATTGCAAAATATTATATAAATGTAATTCAAACTGTTCTCAAGTCTGCAGTATAATAATGCCATATGGGTAATAGTAAAGCACAATTTATTCAAAGTTTCATATGAAACTGTAAGTGAAAATATGTTTTTAGTATTAGTTTTTTTTGTATATTTGCATTTAGTATATTTCATCAATTTTCAAAATTGATTTGAATTTGCCATCGCGCTGATATTTGCCGATAAAATATGCGAATTTAAGCTTAGATAAATATGAGACATCGGAGATATGATTATTTAAATAGGTTAACACAAATTTATCGATTTATACAGGTTCCTAATATGAAACGCATATGCATTCCAACGTCTATCATGTAATTCACATAAATATGAACAAGTTACATTTTATATATTTGCTCTGGCCTTAACCCTCATATGTTTGAAATATCAGGATATTTTGGGGTAGTAATGTTTATTTTTCTATCTAGTGTTAATGTGCAAAATATTGGTTCAGTTGTTCCATATGAATGATTCCCCAACAGTTTGAAATCACCCACCCTCTTTACAACTCCTTATGCTGAAATTCATCCAGCAGGCTAAGGTTAAAGACAAGTTTATACGCTCAAAATCTGTCTGGAGCACATTTATCTTACTCACATTTGTCACAAGAGCTGACAACGGGTTCAGGGGAAGTGATTAAGCTGGTGACCAAATGGTAACGCATCTGCTTCCTTAACATCCTTTTGCTCAGCCAGACCCTGACTGGTAGAAACGCTACGAGGTCACATGAGTCATGACGTTAAAGGCTTTAGGTACAGCAATGTGAACCCAGAAAGTGGAACATTCTTTGCTCGTTTTGTTTTACGACTGGTAATACGAACCTGTTAAAACTGTTCAAATACACACCCTTGATATCCGGAAGGATACATAAGCTTTTAGGGTATGAAAAAAATGAAACTTTAAACTTAAAAGAGATTCGGAAATTTCATCACCTATTCCAATTAAATGGAATGTATGGGAAATGCATTTTCTGAGGTGTCGACTTTTGAATTCATGCTTGGTAATGTGTGCAAATCCGGTCAGAGCATAGATGAAAAAATGGGTCTGTGCATAAGGTAATATGCCATGAGCATATATTTCATAGGTGCAGCTTCACATGAAATAACGTAGGAAAAGAACTGTTTGAGAGGCATTCTAGAAGTTGCAAGTAATAGGAATGACAAATCTTTATGGATGATCAACTTCTTTATTGTACAATGGCGATGTTTCGGTATAGACACTTATACTTATATTTTCATGCTTGTACAATAAATAAGTTTATGATCCATAAAACTTGTCATTCCTAAGGTAGGAAATATCTGAAAACGTACGCAAATCCGGTCCGGTTTCCTACAGAGTTCACTTCAATGGTGTACTATCGATCCGGCTTTTGGTCCCGTGGATAAGCCTAGGTGTTGAATATTTATTCCGGTTTATTCACACTTGCGGTGCCAGTTTTAAACATCACCATGACTTCTGACTCGCACGTCATAGTGACAAGCAGCTTAAACATGAGGGAGACAGGATTGTTTTACGCCGCGTTTAGCAAATGTTCCGTCAATAAACAATAGGCTTCACGCACGGTATTCATGTTAAAAATGGAACCCGTCTTGACGTGCGAACGCCTTAATCACTGGACTACCCCGCCACCCATCCAGGCCGTGACTACAGCCGGTAACAAATCATTTTCACACGTAGCTATATAATAATCTTAAACGCATGGTGAAGTTCCCTTCACCTCATCCGTCTATCAGAGGAAATACGGTAACCTCGAACAATGAGACCTCGTTTTAGATCACGTCCGAACACGAGTGTCGGTCGGGGGTGGATCATTCAAAGGTGAGGCTTCACACTGATCTCGTCTGCACTAAAACATGATGGTAAAATAACGCCATATTAACAACAATGCATTTGCCATTCCCATCTCATCTGTATGGCCAGTCGCCACCAAGTGATTAGAATGGACTTTCACGAGCAGACGACATGCATTTCTTTCACGCTTTCCGAGTGCATTGTCGTCTCAGGTAAATATGGGCAGCCTATTTTGCATGCTAGCTCCCAAACTGGTCCCCTATTTTGTCTAGACTTTTTCAGGCTAGTTTTGTTTCTCTACATGTAACAGATACACATGTAAGCATTATGCAAGGGCGGATGAGCAATGAAGAGAACAGCCGTTACCGCTGGGTCACATGACTTGGCCAAGTCGATGCACATCGGAGGCTCCGTCGGGATTTCCCTCCCAGCTTTCAGTTTCAGTGTTAATGTTATATCCTGAATCAGTTATGGAAATGTTGGATACAGATCTAATTGTTCCAATATTTTTTGGAATGGTCTGAAAGCAACTTAAGTAATTATTCTCGTGAATGACAGTGAATATATTTGTGATGTGAATAGTTATTGTTGATCGTGTTGTCATTATGAAACTGAACCAATTATTCTCGTGCCTGAGGTGAAAATATTTGAGATGTGACTCGTGTTTGTGGTAGTCATTTTAGGATCTGTGGTAGAAATATTTTTGATCTCTTATCTTAGAAGTAAGGATTGCTTTAAAATCACAATAACATATTACTGGTTTATATGTTATATGAAGGAATATATAATTATTAATTAACATTACCTGCACGGTCAATTGAGTGAGTTTTGTTTTACGCCGCACTCAGCAATATTCCAGCTATATGGCGGCGGTCTGTAAATAATCGAGTCTGGACCAGACAATCCACTGATCAACAGCATGAGCATCGATCTGCGCAATTGGGAACCGATGACATGTGTCAACCAAGTCAGCGAGCCTGACCCCCGATCCGGTTAGTCGCCTCTTACGAAGAGCATAGTCGCCTTTTGTGGCAAGCATGGGTTGCTGAAGACCTATTCTACCCTGGATCTTCACGGGTCCGTTCAATTGAGTGTTATTGATACTAAAACCACCATTTTATAAATTACGAGCATCAAAGCCTCAAAGGTGTTGATTAAATTGTTGCCATTCAATAAATAAGCAACGGAAAATTAAAGAGAAATTATGTGATTTTAGGTGAGATGATTCCCCACAAATGTGCAAAATTTAACTTGGATCTTACGAAAATTAAATTCATTGAAATTATTTATGCTACACTGAAATAACATGAAAGTCTATGGAAATTACGTCAAGTGTCTGAATACTTTTAGCTTAGATCTGACTTGTGATTAAAATGCATGTGTGCAACATTTTAGAGAATATAGTCGACTATATTATAACCTTACGTCTCGTGTTGCAGAAAACAACCAAACGCACACTGTTCTTGAAAACGAATGTAAACCAAAGACAATAGTTTATGTCTATATTACATTAACCATACTTGAGTTCCTCCTCTTGGAGAGCGTGTAGTAATTGAGTTTCTCGGAAAATTAAAGTGAGACCTTGATCTGAAGAAGTAATTTTTTGTATAAGTTCGACAAATAAATCTTTCATCTCTCTCCCTCTTTTTGTCAAATTTTAGGGTGTTTTTAAAAGGTTGTCTGTTTTATTCGAACCCTTGGCGTGAAATAAACTGTTAGCAGGCAAGTGACCGAAAATGAATTTTATTCGCTGTTTATATTATTACGTCTTCGCGTTTATCGCCAGCTCACTTTAGAAAAGTATCTTCGGTGAAAGATTTGGTCGTGTTCAAGTATTCGAGAAACCCGTCTGAAAACCTGTCAGTGTCGAGGATGACGGGCAGATTTCAATATCATCAGTCATGTGACCAAGCGAGTTCCATTAAATTCAACACTATATATATATATATATATGTGTTTGAAAAAATATGTTTCGGAAGAAAATGGACTCTGTCTGTCTACATGATACATTTACTTCAAACCTATTACCACGTGAGGTAAAGTTTAAACATTTATACAATGTGTGAAAAACAGGTTTTCATTTGTTATATTTATATTTTCTTTCCGCCCGCCCGCCTGCCTGCCCACCCACCTGCCCGCCCGCTGGTGTCATCAAGCGTTTTGCGGATAAGAATATCAGCTTCTGTTTTCAGATCTAGCGTGTTGTCGGCAATATTTCGGTCCAGAGACAAACTGAAAAGAGACTCTACGTCACTGTTTTCTTCATCGGGTATTAATAAAAGGTAACTGATTATAAACTTATAAACAACTCCCGTTTTGTCTGCCTTGAAACATAGTTTCCAAGAAATCAAGAGAGTGACATGGGAGAATATCAGACTAAAATGAGGATTGGTTGGTAGCATACTTTTGTATGCTGTGTGTGTCGCACTCTGTAATAGTCTGTAAATAATAGTCAGGACCAGACAATCCAGTGATCAACATGAAGAGCGTCGATCTGCGCAATTGTGATACGATGACGTGTCCAGCAGGGGTCTCCTCTCCTTTGCCACCACCTATTGTTCTCAATGTCTGATGCTGTCAAGCGTGTTAATAGAAGTCACCAGGGGTCATCTCAAAATTGTATTCCTTTCTCACTACAACATGAATTTTCCACAACAAAAATCAATTTTACAAAGCATGTTCAATAGTAACATAATATATCACAAAGCATATTAAAACTAAGAAAGGTTCAATAGTTATGATACACAGTTCACACACACTAACATAATACAGTTGTTCATTTAGAACTAGTAAATGTCTAACAGATATGATACACATAAACAGCAGACACAAGTTCCAAGGATCCAAGTTGGCTGATGACGATCTCAGTGTTTTGTAGTTCTTTCTGGATACTGCTGATGAATTTGAACAGGTTGGGATGTGCATGGCCAGTTTTGTTCATTGTAGCATGCAAGCCCTCTACGTGGTTCGTTGTTCTAGCACCCGTGAAGATCCGGGGTAGAATAGGTCTTCAGCAACCCATGCTTGCCACAAAAGGCGACTATGCTTGTCGTAAGAGGCGACTAACGGGATCAGGTGGTCAGGCTCGCTGACTTGGTTGACACATGTCATCGGTTCCCAATTGTGCTGATCGATGCTCATGCTGTTGATCAGTGGATTGTCTGGTCCAGACTCGATTATTTACAGACCGCCGCCATACAGCTGGGATATTGCTGAGTGCGGCGTAAAACTAAACTCACTCACTCACTCACTCGTTGTTCTGGCACCGTCGTTGTCGAAGTGGTTCCACGTAGAGCGGCCTTGGTTCTCCACCCAGGTTTCAGTAACATAGTCTACAAATCTCTGCAACCGTCCAGCACGTCAGCCAGCCTGACCACCCTTGTTTTGCCACGTGCACCTGCTGCCATCGTGTCCCATCTGTTCATTATGCTCATGCTGTGCAAAACCTGTTTGTTTGACATTGATGTCTGAAACATAGCTGACCGTGTAGTAAAACGTTCATTTCTTCACACACTCAACATTAAGGTGACACATTTTACGATTGATGTATAGCTTCAGGATTTACATTCAAAGGATCACATTTTTTAGACGATACCGTTTTTGATCAGGAAGAACATAATACACACCTTTGGAGGGAGTGTGAGCCTTGACTTTAGCATTATCAGGAATTCTACCATGACTTCAGTAAATACTGGATTGTGATTGGTTAATTATAGTCATTGTCCTTGTCATTATAGTCACTATGTTGGAAAATCAGAGGTATATAACGTGAATATATACCTCTGATTTTCCAACACAGTGTATATTTTTAAAAATATCTTAATAACGCGGTTATGGTAGAATGGAGATAAACACACTGTGTTGGAAAATCAGAGGTATAACGAAATTATAATAGCTCTTAATTTGATTTAAAACCGAAAGTGACTGTCACTTTCATTTTAGAGGACGTCACTACGTTTCCAACATTGTTGAAACATGCAAACATGGTTAAAATACTGGCAGGGGTCATATTAGTTGGGTGGAATCAAACTACCGAATAACTCAACCCATCCCACTTGGCCATCGCTCGCGCTCCTGGAGAAATAAGGACTTACCACGCCACAAAGACAACACCCATTCTCATCAAAGTACTTGTGTTTTAGTCATCACTAGTGTTTTAGTCATCACTAGTGTTTTAGTCATCACTTCATCAGTAGTGTTTTAGTCATCACTAATGTTTTAGTCATCACTAGTGTTTTAGTCATCAGTAGTGTTTTTTAGTCATCAGTAGTGTTTTTAGTCATCACTAGTGTTTTAGTCATCACTAGTGTTTTTAGTCATCAGTAGTGTTTTAGTCATCAGTAGTGTTTTAGTCATCACTTGTGTCTCAGTCATCACTAGTGTTTTAGTCATCACTAGTGTTTCAGTCATCACTTGTGTCTTAGTCTATTCTTGTTTTTAGTCTGTCATGGCAGCAGATAAAGTCGCCAGGAGAAAGTTCATCATCGACACAGACGCCGGCATCGATGACGCCCAAGCTATACTGATGTGTCTAGCGGCGTCTGACGTCGACGTCGTTGCTCTAACCACGGTCAAGGGCAACGCTACGGCAACACAAGTGACATCTAATCTTCTCCGACTTTTAACGGCGGCGGACAGACTGGAGGCAAGTGGTCGAAGATCAGACAGTGGGATGGGGTTATTTGTTTTATTACACCTTCTCAGTAAAATATAGCTTTTACCCACTGGATCCATCCCAAATTTCCACTAAATACTTGATCTGGACTGCTGGTTGCCAGTCTTCCATTTTTGTGCAATCTGCGATGGCTGAGTGGGTTAGATCGCAGACTTTGACTTCTGGCAATCAAGAGCCTTAATCTGACAGTGTGGGTTCGAAGTAAGAGAATCTGTACTTTACTGGGAAACTGTAATCCCAAATATAACGTTACATTTGAGCACTTTTAAATGGCATTGTGTATTCTTTGGATGTGTTTGACAATGCAGGTTTTCAGTCCGGACCATTACTGGCGCCCATGCATGCGCCTTACCGGACAGCTTTAAGCCTATGGCACCGGGTGCCGTCTGTGGACTAGGAACTGGGAAACCTATTTTTACACCCGTTATTTACCTTAATCACGGCAGGGAACACCAGAAATGGGCTTCACACATTGTACCCATGGGGTTAATCGAATCTTTGTCAGAAACAATAAACATCAGCAGCATTTATTCGATTCCCACTTTAGGCGATGGAGACCGAAACTAAGTTATTTTGGTGATAATCTTTACCCAATTCATTAAACAATTTCTGACACCAACGCCTATGAAATTATAAAGCACAAGAACTTTGTTGGAAACGCCAGTGTTGTGTGGACCCAATATGGTCAACAGACGCATTCGTGTTGTCTAATTTTATCATTTAATCTCAATTAGTATTTGCTTAAATGAGAGTTTTAAATCAACGTTTTTGATTAAATGAGATGTGTCTAAGATGGGTTATTTGTGATACATTATTGTATACTTCCTATCAGACCCGGATCTTATAGACTCTATGACGACATGTAATACATTTCCTGTCTCACAGATCCCGATCTATAGAAGCTTTGGTGACATTCAGAAATGTGTTATCTGTCACCAGATCTCGATCTACAGAAGCTTTGGTGACATTCAGTAATGTGTTATCTGTCACCAGATCCCGATCTATAGAAGCTTTGGTGACATTCAGTAATGTGTTATCTGTCACCAGATCCCGATCTATAGAAGCTTTGGTGACATTCAGTAATGTGTTATCTGTCACCAGATCCCGATCTATAGAAGCTTTGGTGACATTCAGTAATGTGTTATCTGTCACCAGATCCCGATCTATAGAAGCTTTGGAGACATTCAGTAATGTGTTATCTGTAACCAGATCTCGACCTATAGAAGCTTTGGTGACATTCAGTAATGTGTTATCTGTCACCAGATCCCGATCTATAGAAGCTTTGCAGACATTCAGTAATGTGTTATCTGTCACCAGATCCCGGTCTATAGAAGCTTTGGTGACATTTAGTAATGTGTTATCTGTCACCAGATCTCGATCTATAGAAGCTTTGGTGACATTCAGTAATGTGTTATCTGTCACCAGATCTCGATCTATAGAAGCTTTGGTGACATTCAGTAATGTGTTATCTGTCACCAGATCTCGATCTATAGAAGCTTTGGTGAAATTCAGTAATCAGTAATGTGTTATCTGCCACCAGATCCCGATCTAAAGAAGCTTTGGTGACATTCAGTAATGTGTTATCTGTCACCAGATCTCGATCTACAGAAGCTTTGGTGACATTCAGTAATGTGTTATCTGTCACCAGATCCCGATCTACAGAAGCTTTGGAGACATTCAGTAATGTGTTATCTGTCACCAGATCCCGATCTATAGAAGCTTTGGTGACATTCAGTAATGTGTTATCTGTCACCAGATCCCGATCTATAGAAGCTATGGAGACATTCAGTAATGTGTTATCTGTCACCAGATCCCGATCTATAGAAGCTTTGGTGACATTCTGTAATGTGTTATCTGTCACCAGATCCCGATCTATAGAAGCTTTGGTGACACATTCAGTAATGTGTTATCTGTCACCAGATCCCGATCTATAGAAGCTTTGGTGACATTCAGTAATGTGTTATCTGTCACCAGATCCCGATCTATAGAAGCTTTGGTGACATTCAGTAATGTGTTATCTGTCACCAGATCCCGATCTATAGAAGCTTTGGTGACATTCAGTAATGTGTTATCTGTCACCAGATCCCGATCTATAGAAGCTTTGGAGACATTCAGTAATGTGTTATCTGTCACCAGATCCCGATCTATAGAAGCTTTGGTGACATTCAGTAATGTGTTATCTGTCACCAGATCCCGATCTATAGAAGCTTTGGTGACATTCAGTAATGTGTTATCTGTCACCAGATCCCGATCTATAGAAGCTTTGGTGACATTCAGTAATGTGTTATCTGTCACCAGATCCCGATCTAAAGAAGCTTTGGTGACATTCAGTAATGTGTTATCTGTCACCAGATCTCGATCTACAGAAGCTTTGGTGACATTCAGTAATGTGTTATCTGTCACCAGATCCCGATCTACAGAAGCTTTGGAGACATTCAGTAATGTGTTATCTGTCACCAGATCCCGATCTATAGAAGCTTTGGTGACATTCAGTAATGTGTTATCTGTCACCAGATCCCGATCTACAGAAGCTTTGGAGACATTCAGTAATGTGTTATCTGTCACCAGATCCCGATCTATAGAAGCTTTGGTGACATTCAGTAATGTGTTATCTGTCACCAGATCCCGATCTATAGAAGCTTTGGAGACATTCAGTAATGTGTTATCTGTCACCAGATCCCGATCTATAGAAGCTTTGGAGACATTCAGTAATGTGTTATCTGTCACCAGATCCCGATCTATAGAAGCTTTGGTGACATTCAGTAATGTGTTATCTGTCACCAGATCCCGATCTATAGAAGCTTTGGTGACATTCAGTAATGTGTTATCTGTCACCAGATCCCGATCTATAGAAGCTTTGGTGACATTCAGTAATGTGTTATCTGTCACCAGATCCCGATCTATAGAAGCTTTGGTGACATTCAGTAATGTGTTATCTGTCACCAGATCTCGATCTATAGAAGCTTTGGAGACATTCAGTAATGTGTTATCTGTCACCAGATCTCGATCTATAGAAGCTTTGGTGACATTCAGTAATGTGTTATCTGCCACCAGATCCCGATCTATAGAAGCTTTGGTGACATTCAGTAATGTGTTATCTGTCACCAGATCCCGATCTATAGAAGCTTTGGTGACGTTCAGTAATGGGTTATCTGTCACCAGATCCCGATCTATAGAAGCTTTGCAGACATTCAGTAATGTGTTATCTGTCACCAGATCTCGATCTATAGAAGCTTTGGAGACATTCAGTAATGTGTTATCTGTCACCAGATCCCGACCTACAGAAGCTTTGGAGACATTCAGTAATGTGTTATCTGTCACCAGATCCCGATCTATAGAGTCTTTGGTGACATTCAGTAATGTGTTATCTGTCACCAGATCCCGATCTATAGAAGCTTTGGTGACATTCAGTAATGTGTTATCTGTCACCAGATCTCGATCTACAGAAGCTTTGGTGACATTCAGTAATGTGTTATCTGTCACCAGATCCCGATTTATAGAAGCTTTGGTGACATTCAGTAATGTGTTATCTGTCACCAGATCTCGATCTATAGAAGCTTTGGTGACATTCAGTAATGTGTTATCTGTCACCAGATCTCGATCTATAGAAACTTTGGAGACATTCAGTAATGTGTTATCTGCCACCAGATCCCGATCTATAGAAGCTTTGGTGACATTCAGTAATGTGTTATCTGTCACCAGATCCCGATCTATAGAAGCTTTGGTGACATTCAGTAATGTGTTATCTGTCACCAGATCGATCTATAGAAGCTTTGGTGACATTCAGTAATGTGTTATCTGTCACCAGATCTCGATCTATAGAAGCTTTGGAGACATTCAGTAATGTGTTATCTGTCACCAGATCTCGATCTATAGAAGCTTTGGTGACATTCAGTAATGTGTTATCTGCCACAAGATCGATCTATAGAAGCTTTGGTGACATTCAGTAATGTGTTATCTGCCACCAGATCCCGATCTATAGAAGCTTTGGTGACGTTCAGTAATGGGTTATCTGTCACCAGATCCCGATCTATAGAAGCTTTGCAGACATTCAGTAATGTGTTATCTGTCACCAGATCTCGATCTATAGAAGCTTTGCAGACATTCAGTAATTGTGTTATCTGTCACCAGGTCCCGATCTACAGAAGCTTTGGTGACATTCAGTAATGTGTTATCTGTCACCAGATCCCGATCTATAGAGTCTTTGGTGACATTCAGTAATGTGTTATCTGTCACCAGATCCCGATCTATAGAAGCTTTGGTGACATTCAGTAATGTGTTATCTGTCACCAGATCTCGATCTCTAGAAGCTTTGGTGACATTCAGTAATGTGTTATCTGTCACCAGATCCCGATTTATAGAAGCTTTGGTGACATTCAGTAATGTGTTATCTGTCACCAGATCGCGATCTATAGAAGCTTTGGTGACATTCAGTAATGTGTTATCTGTCACCAGATCTCGATCTATAGAAACTTTGGAGACATTCAGTAATGTGTTATCTGCCACCAGATCCCGATCTATAGAAGCTTTGGTGACATTCAGTAATGTGTTATCTGCCACCAGATCCCGACCTACAGAAGCTTTGGTGACATTCAGTAATGTGTTATCTGTCGCAGATCCCGATCTATAGAGTCTTTGGTGACATTCAGTAATGTGTTATCTGTCACCAGATCCCGATCTATAGAAGCTTTGGTGACATTCAGTAATGTGTTATCTGTCACCAGATCCCGATTTATAGAAGCTTTGGTGACATTCAGTAATGTGTTATCTGTCACCAGATCTCGATCTATAGAAGCTTTGGTGACATTCAGTAATGTGTTATCTGTCACCAGATCTCGATCTATAGAAACTTTGGAGACATTCAGTAATGTGTTATCTGCCACCAGATCCCGATCTATAGAAGCTTTGGTGACATTCAGTAATGTGTTATCTGTCACCAGATCCCGATCTATAGAAGCTTTGGTGACATTCAGTAATGTGTTATCTGTCACCAGATCCCGATCTATAGAAGCTTTGGTGACATTCAGTAATGTGTTATCTGTCACCAGATCTCGATCTATAGAAGCTTTGGAGACATTCAGTAATGTGTTATCTGTCACCAGATCTCGATCTATAGAAGCTTTGGTGACATTCAGTAATGTGTTATCTGCCACCAGATCCCGATCTATAGAAGCTTTGGTGACATTCAGTAATGTGTTATCTGCCACCAGATCCCGATCTATAGAAGCTTTGGTGACGTTCAGTAATGGGTTATCTGTCACCCAGATCGATCTATAGAAGCTTTGCAGATATTCAGTAATGTGTTATCTGTCACCAGATCTCGATCTATAGAAGCTTTTGCAGACATTCAGTAATTGTGTTATCTGTCACCAGGTCCCGACCTACAGAAGCTTTGGTGACATTCAGTAATGTGTTATCTGTCGCAGATCCCGATCTATAGAGTCTTTGGTGACATTCAGTAATGTGTTATCTGTCACCAGATCCCGATCTATAGAAGCTTTGGTGACATTCAGTAATGTGTTATCTGTCACCAGATCTCGATCTACAGAAGCTTTGGTGACATTCAGTAATGTGTTATCTGTCACCAGATCCCGATTTATAGAAGCTTTGGTGACATTCAGTAATGTGTTATCTGTCACCAGATCGCGATCTATAGAAGCTTTGGTGACATTCAGTAATGTGTTATTTGTCACCAGATCTCGATCTATAGAAACTTTGGAGACATTCAGTAATGTGTTATCTGCCACCAGATCCCGATCTATAGAAGCTTTGGTGACATTCAGTAATGTGTTATCTGCCACCAGATCCCGATCTATAGAAGCTTTGGTGACATTCAGTAATGTGTTATCTGTCACCAGATCCCGATCTATAGAAGCTTTGGTGACATTCAGTAATGTGTTATCTGTCACCAGATCCCGATCTATAGAAGCTTTGGTGACATTCAGTAATGTGTTATCTGCCACCAGATCCCGATCTATAGAAGCTTTGGTGACATTCAGTAATGTGTTATCTGTCACCAGATCCCGATCTATAGAAGCTTTGGTGACATTCAGTAATGTGTTATCTGTCACCAGATCCCGATCTATAGAAGCTTTGGTGACATTCAGTAATGTGTTATCTGCCACCAGATCCCGATCTATAGAAGCTTTGGTGACATTCAGTAATGTGTTATCTGCCACCAGATCCCGATCTATTGAAGCTTTGGTGACATTCAGTAATGTGTTATCTGCCACCAGATCCCGATCTATAGAAGCTTTGGTGACATTCAGTAATGTGTTATCTGTCACCAGATCCCGATCTATAGAAGCTTTGGTGACATTCAGTAATGTGTTATCTGCCACCAGATCCCGATCTATAGAAGCTTTGGTGACATTCAGTAATGTGTTATCTGTCACCAGATCCCGATCTATAGAAGCTTTGGTGACATTCAGTAATGTGTTATCTGTCACCAGATCCCGATCTATAGAAGCTTTGGTGACATTCAGTAATGTGTTATCTGCCACCAGATCCCGATCTATAGAAGCTTTGGTGACATTCAGTAATGTGTTATCTGTCACCAGATCCCGATCTATAGAAGCTTTGGTGACATTCAGTAATGTGTTATCTGTCACCAGATCCCGATCTATAGAAGCTTTGGTGACATTCAGTAATGTGTTATCTGTCACCAGATCCCGATCTATAGAAGCTTTGGTGACATTCAGTAATGTGTTATCTGCCACCAGATCCCGATCTATAGAAGCTTTGGTGACATTCAGTAATGTGTTATCTGCCACCAGATCCCGATCTATAGAAGCTTTGGTGACATTCAGCAATGTGTTATCTGCCACCAGATCCCGATCTACAGAGGTTGTGAGGACATGCTGCTTGGCTGGCAAAAACCCGACGAGTACAACTACCACGGCAAGGACGGGTTTGGAGACGTTCCTGACCCCGTCCCACCCAATCCCGACCAGGTCGAGGCCAAACACGGGGTACAAGCACTGGTTGACGTCACCAAACAGTATCCAGGTATATGTCTTTCTGTTACAATACATTTCATATACCGATTTACATGATCAAGCTGTAGGTCAGATGCTGTGGTAATGGCTGGCTGTTAGAATGAACACTACAATTGTCAGCCACGAGTGACGAAAACAATGACAGTAACAGAAATTTCGGAACTTGATCTTTTCTAACTCACCTGAAATAATTACCATCAACAAAACATGGAAGTCAAGGTTGCGTGCAGGACAGAAAGGCGGTGCTTACAACCTAACCATGGACCTACATGCAGAAATGCCTTTACAGTCAAACACGGTTGTGTCGAGGTTGAAGGGACCCACATAATGCTTCGCGTTATCAAAGGTTCGACATAACTGTAAAATAATTTTAATTACGAAACAATTAAGAATGGATCAAACTTTTACATCGAAATTGCCGAACGTTCGACCCATCAAAGTTCGATACAACGGTGTTTGATTGCAATGTTAAATACGCCTAATGTCACATCATATATTTACGGTAATATGAAAGAGGCATTACACCCAGCTCACTCACTCACTCATACGACATTAACATTTTGGAATGGGTTCAATTTCCAGGGGAAATAACTCTGATTGCGATAGGACCACTGACCAATGTAGCTATGGCGATACGACTGGACCGAGATTTCGGGTCCAGGCTCAAGGCGTGTTACATCATGGGTGGCAACTATAAAGGTAGGTCACGAGGTGTGGATATTGATGTGTATCTTAGACTTGTCACTGTTTATGATTTGTATTCGACAGTTTTATCATTTGACTAGTTTGTGTTCAACGTGTCATGGCGGCAAGCCCAGCATGTGGGCAAGCGCAATGCTAAGGTGGGGTCCAGTCTACAGCTCCAGGGCCAGATAAACATGCACTGACCCCTAGATCCATCCCAGTTGTTCCCAAATTTCAAATTATACGCCTTTGAATTTTTTTTGCCAATTTGACTGGCTACAGTACCAGGCCCTAAGTACCAATCAGAATGCCAGTTGCAAACCAGCCTCAATGTTGGGTTGGCAGAACCAACAACATGGCGGCCAGTGTCATTGATTGTGATTGAGTTTGTGAGAAATTCAACATCGAAAAATTGAATGACACCTAAAAGAGAGCCATAAAATATATTTTTGATGGAAAGATTGAAATTCAACGTCCAATGAAACAAGCGGTAGCTTTGGTTTCTAGGTAGCATAAGTTATCTCCCTTACAATTCTCTTTTTGTCGGCGTGTGATTGGTCAGTACAATGTTAATGAAGTTTGCGTGGAATTTGCGATCACAAGGAGAATTGATCTCGAGATCAGTGTAGGTTTACCAAAATGCTTGAATAGGAGACATAAAGGGTGTTTGGTCTTGTAGAAAGATGTGCTAAGACTGGGCCAAAAGCCGTCTGAATACTTGTGCTACAATAATGAAACACTCACCAGCTCTGATGAAAATGGGGCGGCACTGATCATACCTGAGAATAACATGTCAGCCACATTTAAGGTTTCTTGAGAACATTAGAATTATCAGATCGTTTCACGCAAAAGATGCTGCAATAAAACTGGTTTTATCCTTGACCACGTCCCGTGACCATCGCACGTGTTTGTCACGTGTAATGCTCCGGATTATATGCAATGTGACTTGGTTCAAACCAACCAAGCAGATCACTTCGATCTCGGGATAATCAATTGGGGAAAGGTCTTTTGTAGCAGATGCATGAATCCGTTTGACCTAAACACTGACCCTGTCTGATCTACTTCTAAAGCACATTTCAAGACTCAACCTGGCCGAAAAGCAGTATATGACTGTGCTTTGTGCAGTGTCTCCTAGCAGCTTACAGAAAAAGTTCACCACAAGACATCGGTTCCACTTCCTTTTGTGTAAATTCCTTAACTCTGTGGCTTGATGTTTAACATCACACAGACTCCCTGTGACAAGTATAAACAGAGTGTAGCTTGTGATACCTTCACTATAGAGTGCCATGGCAATATCATGTGCAATGATTAACACGTAATTATGCCTAAAACCAAAGGCATTGAACATCGAATTTGACAATAAATGACTTATAATGGAAGGAAAATTGAGCAAACAAAGTTGTGTACCGACCTTGTATCGTTCCTAATTATTACTATTATCAAAGGTGAAGGCAACATAACAGCGACCGGGGAGTTCAACTTTTTACAGTGACCCGGAAGCTGCCTACATCGTGCTGAACTCCCTGGGATGCCCCATCACGCTGACCTGTTGGGAGCTCTGTGACCAGTATTCTCTGTCCTGGGTAGGTCGGCTTTACTAGTGTCATGAACATTCTTATAACACAAACTGTAAGAACCGACAAATGAGGATTGGTTGGTTACAATGTCTGACGTGTTCTGGTTGATCACGCGCTCTTTCACCATTATATCATGGATTGAAAATATAGAATAGGAATAGCCCATTCAAGTGACGTCTGTAATAGTTTGGAATTTAGATTTTTCAAGCTGAAAAGAATACCTGGACTCCTTACTAATGTATTTCATAACAGAATAATTTAACCAGTTATAAATTTTGAACTTTTTTACTTAATTGTGTCTTCTAGACGTCTAAAGCCTGATGATAATCTTTCTATCCAGGCAGCAAGCATCATTTACACTCAGACATACATTTTCACCGTCCGATTCTCGCCGACGTTAGTCGGCGCCACGACGAGCTCGGGCGTCTAGGTTCCTTCACTGTACCGACAATAAGATAATGACCTCAGTATCGTTGTTGATGCATTTGGTCGTTACGGCGACAGCGTCGGTATAATTTGTCTCTGCATGATATCGCAGGAATGATGCTGAAAACGACATAAAAAATTCTCAACCAGTCACTCAGTAGCGTCTTGTTTATCTCCGCAGGAAACGTACGCAGATCTGAGAAAACACACTTCCAAGAAATGCCAGTTTATGAAGGACATTGAAAGCCTAATGGTGTCCAACTGCAAGAAATTGAACTGGACAACCTACGTCCCTTGTGATGAAGTGACGGCCGCATGCGCAATAGATGACCAGGTTATCACGAAAAGTGACCAGGTGTTCGCAAGTGTGGAACTGCATGGTGACTTGACCCGAGGTCAGATGGTCGTCGACTGGGGGAGTCGTCTCCGGAAGAAACCAAATGTCCGCATTGTGAAGGAACTTGACGTCGAGCGGTATATGAAATTACTAAAACGTGCGATTGATGTATCATAAGCTTCAAGCATTAAACAGATTTGAACACTGTGACACTTCCAGCCGCAAACGTTCTTCATATTCGTGTTTATCACTTCAGTTCAAATACAATCTGCGCGACAAATCGACAGAAACCAGCGAATCCATGGAGTGAGTGAATTTAAATTTACGTCGTACTCAGCAGTATTCCAACTATATGGCGGCGGTCTTTAAATATACGAGTCTGGCCCAGACAATCCAGTGATCAACAGCGTGAGCATCGATCTAGGCTATTGGGAACCGATGACATGTGTCAACCAAGTCAGCGAGCCTGACCACCCGATCCCGTTAGTCTCCTCTGGGTTACTGAGGACCAATTCTAACGGGTCCCAGTTAAAGGAAGCTTAGGTTGCAATCATCACAAGACGTGGTTGTGCCTCTGGCTCTGCCTAGTACTGAAAGTGACCGGATCTCCCAAGGAAACATTGAAGAGGGTATAGTTATGTAAAGATTAGGACCTGGGGTAGTCTATGTTCGAATCCCAACATATTACATCATGCGCTTATTTTTTATGTCTCCCATTTTGGTATGTCAAAAAAATATAAGATACGGGTTAATATTGGTCTTCAGCAACCTATGCTATGTAAAAGGCGACCAACGGTGGTCAGACACGTGGTCCATGCATGTCATCGTGTCCTAACTGGGTACGTCGATGGTCATGACATCAATCACAGGATTTTCTGGTCCAGTCAGTATATGTATGGACCGCTGTCATATATTGCTGAGTGCAGTGTTAAACAACAAACAGACTAGACACTTAGTGAGTGAGTGAGTTTAGTTTTACGCCGCACTCAGCAATATTCAAACTATATGGCGGCGGTCTGTAAATAATCGAGTCTGGACCAGACAATCCAGTGATCAACAGCATGAGCATCATACTGCGCAATTGGGAACCGATGACATGTGTCAACCACTCACTCAGTTGACATAGTCAGGACTTCATAAACACACATATCAACCATTCTTCCAAGGCTTGTCAATCATTTAATGCATGTTTTACTCCATCACAGAGTTCCAGACATTTCTGTTGATATCTGTCTTCTCATATGAACCACTTTAGTCACCATCTGAAACATGGCGAAAAGTTGAACATTATCAACAACAATAGGAGATTTATGTTTAATGACTCTTCTATACTTGCACATGCGCATTTCAGCGATTCCAATTACTGAGTTGTCCTTTGAGAACTGATATATGCTATTGTGTATCACGTAACACAATGATAAAACACGTCATTAAACAATGGGTTGACTTCCGTGCATGGCTGCCATTTCACAATTTAAAAAAAATATATTGTTGAATTTAATGGAACCACCTACTATGAATCACAGAATGACACAAAAGGACAAGGGTCAAGGATAACGCAATTCAGTCTTTTCTGACAGGTAATTCAGGTGGGCATTCATTATTTAAGCTGTCAACGATGTTTCAAGATGTTTCAGTATCAGCTGTAGTAAATGATGAAACACACCAGAACATTTTTGGGGGGGAAAAGTTCAAGGGGTTTAGAAACAGTTGTAACATCCCTCGTGAGGGACTGTATAGAAAGATCATAAATGGAAATTTAATTTAAAAAATAATACAAATGGCCAGTGTGCAAAATAGTTTCCAAATATTGCTAGCCAGTCGGGCTAGCTATGCTTGAAAGTTACTAGCCCACAAAATAATTCACGAGCCCAAACTTTGAATGTAGAAACTAAGCAAAACATTACAAAAACAACCCCAAAACAAATGACCCGATGAAAAAATCACTAGCCAGTCAGGCCAGTGACTGTGGATTTTTACTAGCCACGGGCCAGCGGGCCCGTGGCTATTTTGCACACTGCAAATGGCATGTACTCACTGATGCAATCCTGTGGCCTTGTGGAACCTGTCTGTAGAGTTATCTGCCCCTGTGGACATGTAATACAGTGATCCTGACCTTCGTTTGGTTGGAAGGAGTTTACGTCGCACAGCTTACAGACGTCCTCTACTTGCCGTGTTCCAGCATCGCACTTCACTGCAACACCAGGGGTCAGTTACAGGAGGTAGTGGGCAGTCACAGAAAAAAAGGTAGATGGTCAGTTCAGGCAGTACAGGGCCTATCAAAACTATTTTCCTCGCTGGTTTCCAGGTTTTGGGGTAGGTTACAAATGTATGAACGTAACGTTGTTATTAAAGCAATGGATGCCACACGAAACCATACTGTCTTGGGTTAGGTTCCTCTGCGAACCTGTTTCACATGCATGTGTACGGCGTGTGCAAAATCTCGGTGCCCGGATCAAAAACGAAAACAGAGTTGGAAAAGCCAGTTTATAAAACTGCGCGAAATTGTTTTAAAAATATGAATACAAATAATAGGAGAGGGCAAACTTCATAAATACACAAATTACACAAAGTAGCCTTTAAATATACTTAGAAGTGGAAGAACGTTACTAAATATTTGAAGCAAACCCTACCACAAGAAGATCCTTGGTAAATAGAGCCAAAGTCACAGTGAACTGTGGAGACGACGCCTTTAGTGGTGGCGGTGTAGTTGTGGTTGTTGACGGTGACGGACAGCAGGGACGTCGTGTGGTTCATCAGCTGCGTGCCCGTCAACTCCATTGACAGCAACGCCTGCAGGTACGTGGTCAAGTCGGGGGACACTGCATGTTGAACACGCAGATAACATACCTGGATATGGTGGGCTAAGGCGGAGCAGGATCCGCTGATCATCCCAGATTCGTTCTGATGATGATCATGTCTTTGATACGCAGTTTCAGAAATCCTTGTTTGGGTTTTTTTACCCACATTTTAACTTAAGGATGAACATGAATAAAAAAACATGGTCAAAGTGGCGAAACGCAATCGCTCATGCAACAAAATATGAAAAATGTGTATTATTAAATTAAATTAAATTAAATATTGTTAAGTAAGAAACGCGTTGTACCGTAATTCACGACATCATTTACATTTCATTGTGGGTATCTGCGAGTAAAAATTTTTGATGTACAATTGTCTTACTCTTATCTCAGCTGCTTAGACATAATGTAGAAGAATGGACCTCCCTTGGTTTGGTTTGTTTTTTACGCCGCACTCAGCAATATTCCAGCTATATGGCGGCGGTCTGTAAATAATCGAATCTGGACCAGACAATCCAGTGATCAACAGCATGAGCATCAATCTACGCAATTGGGATACGATGACATGTGCCAACCAAGTCAGCGAGCCTGACCACCCGACCCAGTTAGTCGAATCTTACGACAAGCATGGGTTGCTGAAGACCAGTTCTAACCCAGATCTTCATGAGTGGACCTCCTTTAAGTGTTTAAACACTGGAAGTATACATAGTACTAATATAATCCTCGTTATATAAAGGCAGTTTCAGCGTGTCTTGTTATGAAAATAATTGCTTCAAAGCTTCAAGGGGTGGTCTAGTGGTTAAAGCGTTCGCTCGTCACGCCTAAGACCCGGGTTCGATTCCCCACATGGGTACAATGTGTAAAGCCTAGTTCTGATGTCCCCGCCGTGATATTACTGGACTATTGGTAAAAGCGGCGTAAAACTCCACTCATTCACTCTAAGCTACAAACCTTTCTTGTCTGTGAAAAACGCGTGCACGTCGAGATTCCCGGCACCAGCGACACCAGAAATATCAAGGGAGAGAACTACAACCACATCTCGGTCGGGAGAAGAACAGTTAACCTCAGTCTTGGAAGAACAGAAACCACCATCTTTACATGCCAACTTCCGGGAGAGTTGCTCGATTTGACTGGTCAATTCCTGCTCGTGCTTTATGTCCGAGCGTATCAGAGAACACTTCAGCCCAGAGTAGGACATAGTGCTTTTGATAGTCATGGCTCCTGGTGCCTCCATTTCTGAAAACGAAGACGAATTGGAAACTGATTCATCCGATCAATCTGGGTTATCTTCCAATTGGCCTTGACCTTCAGGGTTTTGTCTAACAGGATCCTAGTATCTGAACAATATGGTGCTGGAATTTTGGTTATAAAATTGATGACTATAATCCACTTTTCAGTGGACTCGAAAATTATATTGTGTGCTGAAGGTTAATTCTGCTCTTCACCCTTACAGATCCTCTTTCACCTGAGCGATGACACTTACGATTGGAGAGTAGGTTAATCGTCAGTGTATATAAGGAGGCCCATGGGTGGTAAAAGAAGAATGACATATATATTAACGTATTGACACCCTGAAGAAACAAATGAGTGTACATACTTAATGCTTTCTCAAGGTCACGGGGAGTATACTCACTGTTGCAAAACGGCAGGAATCCGTCAGCTCTGGTCACGTGATCCCACGTGTATCCTGTTTCTGGTCCACAGTTGTAAGACGTCAGTGGCGCATTTGTGAAACTATATCCTAGCTCACATGACAGCTTGCAGCTTTTGGTGGAGCCGGTCTGGTTACACTCAAACACGGAGTTTGGTGGTTTGGGGAACGTTTCACACGCGGGACACAGTTCCCGATTGCAGGATTCCGTCTCAGTTGCCTCCCCTTGACAGTCGCGTCCGCCATGTTGTGGGGCTGGACTGTCGCAATGACGTGACCTTGACATGACACCAGTTTGTCCACAGGTCGCCGAACAGTTTGACCACAGCGACCATACGCCCCAGCCACCATTCACTGTAGTAATGAAAGAAATATTCCGATATGATGATTGCGACGCCCATTTCGGGAATCGAACCTGAGACATAGACTTAACGAGCGAACGTCTTAAAGGTCACATAAACCCTAGGGGGTACAAATACATAAATCACTAACTGGCATCGTTATAAATGAAACCCCGTCATTAAAACTACTCATTTCGACCTTTAATTGACTTAAATCGACCTTTTTGACAACAGTGCACTATTCTCACCCGCGAACGAAATTTCAACCAATCAGAGCGGCGCGCCTCTGTGACGTCATATGAGGAATAGTTTTGAGGGCCGATGCAGAATTCATCTACATTTTAGGGGTTAAATTATCTTGTTTACAGGCTTGTATAAACCTGAAATCGTGACAATTGTTGTGGAAAATGAAAGTTATATGTTCTCACAATCTACTGGCATTTAATTTTGTCTCCTGCTTTGCCTAGTTTCCCAGTTACAACTTGTTTTCATAGACGATTCTGTCAAAATCGATAGGTGTCGTTAGGCCCTATTTGTATAATGACTGATCCAAATTGATCCTATTTCTGTGTTTTTTTACCTCGATATTTAATCATGTCATGTAAAAATCTGTTTGTATTCTCAAAACAGTGTCGGCCCATAAGTTTTCACATGCAATACAGCAATTAATACTCCCTTGTTGTAACCCGTGCTAGGTGGTATAAACCTACACATGTTATTTGTCATCATTCACTTGATGGTCAGTTAATGAATTTATAACAGGTATAATTAGTGGTAACACACTTAGATTACCCGACAAAGGTTCCCATTTGGCATTTCTTGTGTCTGGAGTAAATATTCAACATTATAAACATCGATCAAAAGGATTAACCGATAACACGCTGATTGATTAATTACTTTTATCTTACACAGCGGAATTGTCAAAAGGTAGTGTTTATGTATGTAGATTTACTAATCTATAGTGAATACACTCTGTCGTGTCGGTGTCTGCGTAAAAACAACGTCCTTCTTTCAAAGGATTAACCGGCAATACATTGATTGATTGCCCATTATTGGCTAACTAAATTACTGTTTTTAAAGAAAGGTGGACATTATGCAATTAGTTGCCAGGTGTGCTATCTTGGGTGACCAATGAGACTATACACCAATACCTGAAAAGATTTATCACTTTTTCGTATATTAAACTGTTAAAAGACACATCATTTGGAACAGTTTTGTGGATATTGATGGATACATTCCTCGAACAAGGTAATGGCCTGATATTGTTCCTATAACTTTAATCTGTTTTAATTTTAATATTTGCATTTTGTTTTATTCATTTGTCGTAGCATTCAACAGAATCATTGTTTTCGCCGTGAAGTGTAATGAGACAGACAACATGCACTAGGGTGTGTGTGCGAATTATGATTCACATTGGCAAACTATAAAATGTCTAGATATTACAGTTCTGTTATAAATTCACTATAAGTATCAGCAGATCGTCTGCTTTTTATTTAGTTTCAAAATGCATACAAGTGTGATAATAAACTAATTAGGATTATAAGACCAAATATAAAGACGCACATTGACTAGTATCTACATACTGGTGAGTGGACATTAACCATGGGAATGTAGCAAGAAATTTATCGCGCAGTATTGTGACTTCGACCCCCACCTCGCTTCCGTGGAAGAAATCGTTATGTTATAAGTTGTGTCATGCAAAATCCGTTTGGTTATGATTCCAATACATATTTAACTACGAGTAGAAAGTAGTCTTGATTTTCTAACTTGATGAAAACAAACTATAATCTCATTAATTCTAACAGATTTTTTTATTTTTAAAAATGGCGGCGCCCTGTCGGGAACATCCGCCAGTCTGAGGATAAATGGTATTTAGGTTTGTTTTCACCGAGTTACAAAATCAAAACTACTTTCTACTGGTAGTAAAATATGTATTTTATTGATGGCCAATAGGATTTTGCATGACATAGCGTATATCATAACAATTTCTCTCGTGGCAGCGAGGTGGGTGTCAATATAATACTACTTACAATATTATTGTTACTTCGACCACAACCTCACTTCCGAGGAAGAAATCGTTATGTTACAAGTTGTGTCATAGAAAATCTTTATGGTCATCAATCATATGCATATTTTACTACAACTAGTAAGTAGTTTTGATTCTTTAACTTCCGTGAAGCGATCTGAACACAAGTAAGATATCGTTTCAGGCTTCCACAACGCTCGCTTCGCACTCACAAACATAACCCATTTAGCACGAACTGCGGGGTCCTGTGGAAATCTGTGCATGGGGACACCATCGCCCGACCCCTAGGAGCAATTGACGACAAAGCAACGATTCGGCATGTCGTCGTTGATGTCGAGAAATCGTCAAAATGATGAGCGTGCTACACATTTTCTATACAACTAACTGAAAATCGTTCCTCATATGACGTCACTGCAGTGCTCTGGCGACAGAGTTACGTAACCTGTCTGTGGTTTCGTTGGCGGGCGAGAGGGAAGCAGGCGACTTTTTGGCCACTTTTAATCGCTCGGTATTAATTAACCACAAGTTTTTAAAGAATAAATTTGGTGTTCCGCATAAGACTAACCACAAATCTTTCATATGTAATGGTTAAAAGAGTAACAAAAAACAAAGTTTAGTGGTTCTTTAACTACTTGACTATCCCGCCACAGAGGGCTTTTAATAGTAAGTCAGAAGTATTTCAGCAACATCACTGCTGAACGACATATTTGTGAAGTAACTGTAACGCTCAACATTAATGTGTACAATAAGGCTGCAACGAATCCTCTGTGAGGCTGCCAATATGATACATGTCACGGATACTGACTGATGAATATGAGTGAGTTTGGCTTTACGCCGCTTTTAGCAATATTCCAGCAATATCACAGCGGAGGACACCAAAAATGGCTTCACACATTGTACCCATGTAGGGATTCGAACCCGGGTCTTCGGCGTGACGAGCGGACGCTTTAACCACTAGGCTACCCCACCGCCCCTGGATGAATATGAATAATGCATATGAGTAACGAATACAATAATAAGTCGGCAGCTGGTGTACTATTCATTATATTCAGAAAAACAATGACAAAATTTATTCAATTCATCACAACTATGACCACATTACTGTCAAGAGTGCTGGCCCCATGCTTCTTGTCAGAATGTGTAAACTAGCACTGGTTTATCTATCAGCGTATCACGGTTAATCCTTTGACCAATGCTGTGATGCTTGTCGTGAAAGGCGACAAACGGGATCGGGTGGCCAGGTTAGCTGACTTGGTAGACACATGTCATCGTATCCCAATTGCGTAGATCGATGCTCATGTTGTTGATCATTGGATTGTCTGGTCCAGACTCGATGATTTACAGACCGCCGCCATATAGCTGTACCTTTGCAGAGTGCGGCGTAAAACTAAACTCACTCATTCAGGAGTGCTGGCTAAGATCCTGCCAGGCTTGGATATATTTCATTTTGCAAATCTCGGTTTGATAAATAACACCCGAATTCAAATAAAACACTCGTTTTAAAAGATTCACGAATATTCAGTTCTAGTGATCACGAATGACGAATTAAATTTATGAAGGGTTGACGGTTCGATTCATCGAATACGCGAGTGAATCGTCACAGCGCCAGTGTACTCAAAGAACGTTGCTATGGTGATAGGATGCATTGATAAATCATTAGGACGAATCTGATAAAACTACCAGCGGATCCTGCAACATCCAAGGTACACAAAGCGGCATCACAGGCATAAAGCAGTGAAGATGTTGCCTCTCTCTCTCTCATGATGTCGTTATATATGTATTACATCTATAAGGACGTAAAGATCTGATGAAACAGCTATTGAGGATCGCGTCAGGTGGAACCTGGGCGATTATTTCCACCCAAACAAAATGGCGTGGTCCCTTATTACATTCATGTGACAACTTCCTAATACGATGGGGCTTCATATCTTTACAGCATTTTTTGAAATATCGATGAGAGCCAAAGAAAAGACTACACAGATGCAGAAATATACCATGTCATCAGTTCACGATTCGAGGCGTGGAAACAATGGCGCTCAGAAAAGACAGGACGAATGAACAATAGAATAACGCGGTTTTATAGTTTTTGTTACCGAAACTCACCGAATATATTCGTTTTCGCGATCCAGAAATCACTGCTTCTCTAGAAGCTTGGCTCACTCGTGTCATTACTTTATAGAAGCATCAGCGCTGATCAGAAAGTTTACCAAAAACGACCTCTTATAGTGGAGTTGTCAGATCTTCAGGCAAAGAGGTAGTAAAATGCATGATTTTAATGAGAGTATAATAAAAATACTTTGCTTGAACAGTGAAAGACAAACAAAAAATCCATGGTAGAGCTAAAAACTAACATACTAAGTATTTAGATAAGGAAACATTAACTTTTGTCCTTTGGGATGCGCGCTCTATTTTTTTTCGAACAGTTGATTGCAAAGTGACTTTTACAGAACTACAAACGACGTAAACAGATTGCTGAAAGAACGGTTTGGCTTAGTCTCTCCAAGACCCAAGGGAATGCATTAAAAAAGTCAATCTCTAGTTTAATAAGTCTGGGCCGAACTAGATTGCCTCACCTCTGGGGAATTAAGATGTTTCTGTGCGCTAATGGCATTTTTTTGTGTTTTGTCTTTTTTGGCATATATTATTTCAAAAAGATTCAATTTCTGAGACTAATTGTCAGTCCAGGATTACCTATTTGGTTTTGGCATCGATCGCCCGTGTACCCAGACGCGCACCGACAGACGAATCCTGCAGGGGAGGTGACACAGGTGGCGTTGTTGGCACATGGGTGGCTGAGACAGTGGTCGGGGGCAGTCTGGCAGCGTTCTCCGCTGTATCCCCCAGAACATCGGCACCGGTAGCCATCTGGCAGCATCTCACAGGCGTTGTTCGCTCCACATGGGCTGCTCAGGCATTCGTTGTGGACTGTTGAGACAATTGGATCTAATGGCTGATGGGCTTAAGTGTGGGGCACACCCGTGAAGAACGGGGTTATAATGGATCTACAGCAACCCAAGCTTGTCGTAAGAGGCGACTAACGGGATCATATCCCAACTGCGCAGATCGATACTCTTGCTGTTGATCACTGGATTGTCCAGACTCAATTATTTACAGACCGCCGCCATATAGCTGTAATATTGCCGAGTGAAATGCTGAGTGCGTTAAACAACATTCTGACGTCATGGTGACCGGCCTTATATGGTCAAATATTTATTGCGGTGTGACTTGAAAAAATCGGCAAAAAAATGCTTGGTCAGCCATGGAATCATCTGCAATATATCACAGTGTTCGCATAAAGCAACAATCAACAGGTTTTGCGATTGAGAAGCAGGTGTATTTACTGTGATATACTCACGGTATTTGGCGTCAATGCAGCTATCCAGGCTGGTAGCCCCCGAGTCCCTGGTAGTGTACCCAGGGGAGCACGTGATGCAGTCGACAGCCGCGGGGGTGCTAGAGAAGGTGCCTTCTCCACACAGCGAACATGGAGCTAGTCCTGTAGCAGAGTACTGACCAGGCGGGCACACCTCTGAAAAGGCCAATGTCATGATTACCTTCTCAACGACGCTTAATCAAATATCTTACAACTGTATACCCCAAATACACCCGTAATAACTCTACTGTAACGACTGGTTACCCTGACACTCGGAGCGGCTCTTTGCTCCGGTAGTTTCCGTGGACATCCCATCAGGACACTGGATAGAGGTCACCGCGTTGTCAGATGGCTGGTAAAACCCTTTCGGGACGGGGTCACACGAGTCATTGGTCTCGTTGTAGTATTGGCCTTTTGGACATCCAGCTGAAACAAGACAACACGCATTTGGACTGACCGTTTGATCCCCCCGAAAATGCTGGGAAAGAATTATTTACATATAAGCTTTACGAAAATACTGCAGGCACAGGTTTCTCAGCCGTGTGAGGCAACGTCATGTACAGTGTTACCTCCCTTGGGCACGTCAGAAGCAAGATGCGACCCATGTTTGGTTTCTTTGTTTGCACTCTTGGGCTTTTACAACTTTTCGGGCTTTTCTACCACAGTAACACGCCATGACTGGAATACTGTCCAAATCTGAGTGGAAACAAATTCACTTAATTCACAATTTAATTCACTAACTTTCAGTAATCTGCACGAAATTGTTCTTGCGTTCTATTTGACCAAACTCTCGCTAAGCTAGTACAAGACGACATGTAAATGCGAGACGCTGTTGTAAATTCTGTTACATTGACCTTGACATTAGCGTATACTGACCACAGGCTCCACTGGTATAGTCCGGTCCTGTGCCCTGTGGACAGTCCATTACCATGGATTCAACATGGAGGGCAGCACTTGATGTATAGAGGCCAAATGATGGGATGTTCAGAGAAGTTGACTTGACACCATTCATGATTCCTAAAACATGTTTTCAACAAATGGCTATTCGATCCCTAAAGTAACCCTATATTTAAATGTTTTACATCGCCACGTCCTCTTGACATGTCCTCTGAGGCGCCTGATTGCGGAATTGTGAATGTTGAAAACAGAAGACTATATCTTTCGTCACTATCCGGGGCGGTGGGGGTAGCCTAGTGGTTAAAACTATCGCACGACACGCTGAAGGCCTGGGTTCCATTCCCACATGGATACAATGTGTGAAACCCATTTCTGGTGTCCCCCGCCGTGATATTGCTTGAATATTGCTAAAAACGGCGTAAAACCATACTCACTCACCAGATTAAGCTGACACGCTGACCGACATACTGTAAATCTCACTCACACACCAAGCGCATATTTAAGTCCTCTGTGTATTAATAGGGGCTTAAACGAAACATCGATGAAACGATATGTTATCTTCAGCATCAATACAAGCCGATACACTTGCCTAAATATATTATTGCTCTTTCAATGACCCACCTGTGAAGATCCGGGTTAGAGTGAGCGAGTGAGTTTAGTTTTACGCCGCTTGTAGCAATATTCCATCAATATCACGGCGGGGGGACACCAGCAATGGACTTCACACTTTATATCCATGTGGGGAATCGAACCCGGATCTTCGGCGTGACGAGCGAACGCTTTAACCACTAGGCTACCCCACCGCCCCAATCCGGGTTAGAACCCATGATTGTCTAAAGAAGCGACAAACGGAATTGGGTAGCGAGATTCACTGATTTTGTTAACACGTCATCGTGTCCCAACTGCGTAGATCATGTCAATCACTGGATTGTCTGGTCTACCCTCGATTAGTTACAGAAACGTCGACAACAACAACAAAACTAATATTGGGCGGAGCTTACAAATGTACCTGATCTGTACGCACTGTTTCTCACCTGAACACGGAAGTGCATTTACCTTCTACCGTACAGTGATCCCAGCAAACAGCCTATTCTCATAACTATAACCTATACACGCCGCGACTTAAATAAGAGGCAAATATTGAAAAATGTTGTTTCAAGTTCACTACTGAAATTAGCCTTTATCAGGGGTGGAAATAAATTTAGCATTGCTGGTGTACTGCGGTACAGTGGCACATGTAAAATCACTTGCCCTGATAATTTTTCCACTCTACCGGCCGTTTTCTTGTTGATTTTTTAAAATAAACAACATAATTAACATTGGAAAGTCAACTGGACACCGGTACAGTGTGATATACAAATTTGCTTGTCCGACAGGAAAAAACACTGGACTCGGACGTCGGGCAATGGGTTATTTCCACCCCTGCTTAATGAACATGTCTATACAGATGGCTTATTCTTTCAAACCTGCTCTGAAATATTTATAATCACACAATTTTGAGATGACGCATCATACCGTAACAACATAATGCTTCATCGCTTCATCCCTTGGTATTAATATCAGTAGATAACGCACCTGCTGCGATCTTGTTCAGTAGATTCTGCCCAGCAACCACAGCCATGGCTCCTCCGCCATCAGCAGCAACGTACGGCACAACAATATCAAACGTTAACTGCACAGAATACGTCGTCGTGCGTTTGCCAGTCACCCTGCCGCATATGACGTCCACGTTCTGTGCATTACACTGCGTTCTGTCAGCACACACGGACATGAAGATGCTGCTAATGAGAGACTTGATGAAGTTGCTCCTGATCTGGGCCCTGGCGGAGGGGCTGGTTGGACACGCTCCCTTGTAGTAGACGTTCCCGGGGGCACGGAAAGACTGGGGCAGACAGCTGGCTGGAAATGTCATAGGTTGAACGAATTAAAGCACATACCATGGTGCCAATCACTGGATTGTTTGGTCCGGACTCCATTTGTTTAAAAACAACATCGTACAGCTGTAATACTGAAACAAATATACACGTACTCATGATGTAGTCACAATTGTACATCGAGTTTTCCTATGGACGTGGAAAGGGTTTTGTCGCTTCTATTATTTGCAGGGAAGGGTTCTCACATATTCTAAAAGATCAATTTTCAATATGTTACAAATAAAAAAAACAAAAAAAACACACAATGCAATAAAAAAAACCACCACCCCAAAAACCCAAACAATAACAGATTCTTCTATTTTATCCAGAAATGTTAGGCAGGATTATATTTTACTGAACAAAATGTACTAATTTGTCTGTAGATATGCGGGGACAATGAGTGCGGTGGGGATAAATAGTAACGAAAAAAAACCCATCCCTTGTCAAGCCGAATCAGTGGATATATTTTTCCTGTTTTGCAAGTATTACCGATGATTCACTGAAATGATTGCGACAAATATATTGTTTTATATTGTAGTTTCAAATATTATTTCACTGTATATCTTCGCGCTGGAATTACGCCAAAATACATAATGACAATCGGTGCCGTTGCCTTTGACACAGGGGCTTGTAACGCTAAAAACTGCCATCAGGTTAAGTACTGTCACTAACGGGGTCTTATCATGACATAGAAGGAACTTTCCTTCTATATAGTGATAAAGCCCCCTGTGGCCTTTGATAGGTTCCTAACTTGGGGATTGGTTGGATACAATGACAGGTACGTTTGGACAAACCAGAGACCATATATGGTTGGGCAAACCTTTTAGAACTGACTTGGCTGTTTAATTATATGATCATCGTCACGATATGGCTGAAATCTTGCCGATGTGACGTTAAATAATAACTCACTCACTCACTAATTATATGATCATACAACAACGCGTCATAGTAATTACACTGCGCATGCGCTCCGTCACTCACCAACACATGGCATGATGTGAGGGCTTGGCTTCCATGTGCCGGTGTTAGATCCACATGCGTACATGCCGTTAGCGGGCGCTGACCGCGAGATAAGGAAGCCCTCTTGGCACTGCGTTTGGCACATGTTTCCGCCTACCCACTTGTCGCATGACAACGCCCCATTTTGGGGCGCCTGCAGGGCGGGGCAGTTTCTCTCTGGAAGATGAATACAGATCACAGCAGAGGTAATACAGGTAATACCAAAATCTTGCCTATACAGAACACAACCCTGTGCTCTTAAAAGAACCCACGAATCCGTTGGTAAATTACCAGATGGTGGCCACATGAACACATGAATACATGCAAACAGCTAGTTGCAGGTGCAGTAAACGTGGACAAAGTATTGGGACTATATGTCCCAGTCCACCCAGCTGTGAATGGGTACCTCGTAAGGATGAGAAAACCACATTAACTCGGTGCGCCTAGTGGCTGCAAGAGTTTATGATTCCCAGGGAATTGAGACTGATAATACGATATGTCGTTGACATTAACATCCAATGATCGAGGGGAAAAACAAAGCGCCTGTGGGCAGCCTAGTTGGAACTCAGCGTTAATTATATTAATATATAAATAAATGAAAATAACATAATAATGTTTGTGTGTTCCGTTTGACCTCACTGACAGCTGATTTATGTCTGTTGAATCTACCGGTACGTTCATAGGTATTTGGTACATCAAAAGCGGGATTATCATTTCTGAGTACAAATTAGTATTTAGCTGAGATTTTTTGCCTTTGCATTCTGATACGAAAGTGGGTCATTTGTCATAGACGTAATCTTATGAGAGAATTGACGTCAGTGACTTTGTGCTTTTTTGCGCAAATAATGTATAAACCTAAACAAACACTTGTACACGTGCGAGGTACACACACGAAATGTGTGCAACATTAGTTTATGTTTATAAATCTGAAATCTCAAGATTGTAAAACAACTTAGTTATTCTGTTTATTGTTCATGTCTCTGATCACCCATGGGGGTCCGGGCTAGCATTAGACTTCAACAACCATGCTTGTAGTGAGAGGCGACTAACGGGATCGGGCGGTCAGACTCGCTGACTTGGTTGACACATGTCATTCGGTCCCAACTGCGTCAATGAATGCTGATAATGTCTGTCACCGGATTGTCTGGTCCAGACTGGATTATTTACAGCTGGTCGTCATAAAGCTGGAAGAGTTCAAGGTACAGCGTGAAACAACCAACCTACCAACCAACCAACCAACAAACAAGCTTACTCTGACATGACGGAACGCCCGACACCGATGTCCAGCGTGTGCCCAATGTGGCCGAAGGGCTGTCGGTACACGTGATGCGGTTGGAGCCAACGAGGGGGTATCCCATCTTGCATTGCACGGTGCACGAGCTGCCGACGTTGTAGCTGTGTGGACATGTGAAGTTCAGGTTGACGTCGGTGAAGCTGTAGGATGGGGGCTTGCATGTCTTCACTGCAATCAAGGGAGAGTGAGTGAGGGAGGGAGCGAGTGAGGGACCGAACTGAGAATATTCAGCTGTCAAGCTAAAGTAAGAGATAGGTATCAGTTTGCTAGATCTTGCAGCGGAATAAGAAGCAAGCTGAACCTAGATTCAAGTCCCTATAATATTCGACTCATTTTTCAACGAGTGACACGACTAAGGTGTGATTGCACAATGTCATTTTAGAAAGTGGTCAAATGTAACATATGTTATATTTGGGATCACACTTTTTTAATAAAGTACAGATTCTAGTACTGTTGTTGGGTTAAGTCCACTTCAGGATTTGAACCCACACCCTCAGAGTCAGACACCTTATCGCCAGCACACAAAGTCAGCCGCCTAACCCGCTCAGCCACCGCGACTTCCACATGGCGGCTGATTTCGTGTGCTGGCGGTTAGGTGCCAACAAAAGTACTAGAATCTGTACTTTACTAAAAAAAAGTGTAATCCCAAATATAACATATGTTACATGACTAAAGTGGGTAAATGTGAGTGATTGAGTGGCTGACTCAATTAGGGCTCAATTTAAGAGATGTTAACCTACTTGCACCACGTGCAACCTAAGATAAAAAATCTAGTTGCACCAGCCAAATTCCAGTTGCACTGCTTTTATTGCAATATTTAATGTAAGAAACACGCTTAATATATTTAATGTAAGAAATATGAAATTATTTAGATGTATTATTAAGTTTTTACCCACTCAAAAATCGAGTTGCACCTGGTGCAAGTTAGACAAATATCTCGGTTGCATTTTGTTATATTGGGTTGCACCAGTGCACGTAACAAAGCACTAAATCGAGCCCTGTCAATTTAGCAACATACGGGGAGCGGGGAGCACCAGACGTTTGGAATCAAACCAGGTGTTTGGACGTGACGATCGAACGCGTTGACTACAACGCTACCTCATCGCCCCAACGTTGTGGAAACACATCTACCTGCTCTCGAGGCATCTACGGTGAAGTAGCACGTGGCCTTGTTTCCGGTCTCGTCTACGGCCTCATACACGACTGTCTGTCGACATGGACCAACCACAGTGCCAGACCGAGGGCCGACTGTCTGGGTGACCTTCACCCTGCCTACGCCCTTCGTGGGGTCAACGAGAACGTCGCTCCATCTGACCGCTGCTTTGGCTATACCACTCATGAGGGTGTAGGTGATGCTGGCGGAGCAGTTGGCGTGGAGGAAGGAGGGGTGGGAGATAACTGTGGAGGAACAGAAAATAGAAAATATATCCTCAATGTACTTTTCAGTACTGCAATGACAGTTATGTTTTCATTAACGCAAACTTCAAAATATGTCCATTAGATGTACGAAAGATGTTATGACTACAGAAACTGACACTTTTATTTCGAAGACAGAAGCGTAGATCGATGCCCATGCTGTTGATCACTGGATTGTCTGGTCCAGACTGGATTGTTTACAGACCGCCGCCATATAGCTGGAATATGGCTGAGTGAGGCCTAAAAAAATCTCACTCGCTCACTCACTCACTCACTTCTTTATGCCTGTAGATTTCTAGCTTAACATGTTGTTTCAACCTTGCAATCGAAACGTTAGAGGAAGCATTCAAATAGCAGTTTCAGATATGTGGTCCATTATACAGTTCTTAATCACAGTTGGGTCGAAAGTAAAAATATATAGCGAAGGGCATTGGACATTACAAAGGCGGCGGGTCACGTGACGCTGCATGGTTTACAGTGCAGTGCTTCTGCGATTGGGTTCAAATCATAGTATAGCATAATTTTTAAAATTACTTAATTCCAAACATGAAAAAAAAATTTCGTCGAAAGTAAACTTGGAACAAGGAAAACCCGAAACCTTACTGGGTCAGATCACAAAAAACTACGTAATTCCTTAACCTGTGGTATGTAAAACGAGAGCTCGTAAAGCTACGAATATTTTTCTAATGGCAGCTCCTGGTTTGGAAAACAAGATGGCGTGTGCTAGGAAATAAAACCAGTTCTTGTTTTCTATGTGTAAAAAGTATTCAGTGACGTATTCTAAATAAACTCACCTTCACACTTCCCAGGCGAAGTCCATCTTCCTGAACGTTCACACATGATGTAGAACTTGTTGTGTGAAGGTGACGACCCCGGGGGACAGTTCAGGTAGCACGCTGACCCATATGTTCCACCCATGGGGCAGGTGTAGTTGCCGGTGGGGGGTGTCGGGGGAGACCCGCACCGTGAGCCTGGAAACCGTTATGGGAATGAGTGAGTGTAGTTTTACGCCGCTTTCAGCAACATTCCAGCAAAGTCAAGGCGGGGGACACCAGAAATGGGCCTCATACAGTGTAACCATGGGGAATCGAACCCGGGTCTTCGGCGTGACGAGCGAACGCTTTAACCACTAGGCTACCCCACCGAAACGTCGCTTACATTACCAAGAAAGAAGTTGTATACATGTATTCATATAACTCTCCCCGTTGTTAATCGCTATATTGCCCTGAAACACTCGGGCTTACTCGCAATGGCCCGATAAACGCCAAGTCCGTTCACGTAATTAGGTCGCTGACATATTGGTAACCATGACGTAATGCCTGGCCTCTCGATACCCTCAGTCGTGACGAGCGAACGCTTTAACTACTAGGCTACCCCACCGAAACGTCCATTACCAAGAAATAAGTTGTATACATGTATTCATATAACTCTCCCCGTTGTTAATCTCTATATTGCCCTGAAACACCCGGGCTTACTCGCAATGGCCCGATAAACGCCAAGTCCGTTCACGTAATTAGGTCGCTGACATATTGGTAACCATGACGTAATGCCTGGCCTCTCGATACCCTCAGTCGTGACGAGCGAACGCTTTAACTACTAGGCTACCCCACCGAAACGTCGCTTACATTACCAAGAAAGAAGTTGTATACATGTATTCATATAACTCTCCCCGTTGTTAATCGCTATATTGCCCTGAAACACCGGGCTTACTCGCAATGGCCCGATAAACGCCAAGTCCGTTCACGTAATTAGGTCGCTGACATATTGGTAACCATGACGTAATGCCTGGCCTCTCGATACCCTCAGTCGTGACGAGCGAACGCTTTAACCACTAGGCTACCCCACCGAAACGTCGCTTACATTACCAAGAAAGAAGTTGTATACATGTATTCATATAACTCTCCCCGTTGTTAATCGCTATATTGCCCTGAAACACCCGGGCTTACTCGCAATGGCCCGATAAACGCCAAGTCCGTTCACGTAATTAGGTCGCTGACATATTGGTAACCATGACGTAATGCCTGGCCTCTCGATACCCTCAGTCGTGACGAGCGAACGCTTTAACCACTAGGCTACCCCACCGAAACGTCGCTTACATTACCAAGAAATAAGTTGTATACAAATGTATTCATATAACTCTCCCCGTTGTTAATCGCTATATTGCCCTGAAACATCCGGGCTTACTCGCAATGGCCCGATAAACGCCAAGTCCGTTCACGTAATTAGGTCGCTGACATATTGGTAACCATGACGTGATGCCTGGCCTCTCGATACCCTCAGTCGTGACGAGCGAACGCTTTAACCACTAGGTTACCCCACCGAAACGTCGCTTACATTACCAAGAAATAAGTTGTATACAAATGTATTCATATAACTCTCCCCGTTGTTAATCGCTATATTGCCCTGAAACATCCGGGCTTACTCGCAATGGCCCGATAAACGCCAAGTCCGTTCACGTAATTAGGTCGCTGACATATTGGTAACCATGACGTAATGCCTGGCCTCTCGATACCCTCAGTCGCCTTTACGACAAGCGTGGGTTGGTGAGTACCAGTACTCCCAGCTGAAACAAGCCTTGTCGCTGATGGTTTTGCGCATGGAAAGGGATGCGGAGAGTGGCACTAGTGACTAGTTCAACCATGAACAACTTACCTTCACACACAGGCATGGCGGCACTGAGAGTATTGGTACCAGTGCAGGTGACGCTGCTAGCTCCCTTTCTCTGATAGCCACTGTTACATGACACGGCGCAGGATTCCCCCAACAGCAGGTAACCGGATGACGTCGTGCAAGTCAGGCGGCCATTATGAATATAATTCGGTCTGGGGCACCGCTTCACTGAAACATTCCCATGATGCAGTAGGAGAATCTGCACACGGCGTATTTCTTTGTTTTGGATTCTTTTATGTTTTTTCTAGTCTAGATTATGCGTGCTTACTTGTCTTTATGTGAGTGAGTGAGTATAGTTCTACGCCGCTTTTAGCAATATTCCAGCAATATCCCGGCGGGGGACACCAGAAATGGGCTTCACACATTGTACCCATGTGGGGATTCGATCCCGGGCCTTCGGCGTGACGAGCGAACGCTTTAACCACTGGGCTACCACACCACCCCCTTTATGTCACATGTGGTGGTAAACCGCTGAGTCAGCAGAATTTCTGCCAAAGCATGTAATATCGATGTCCAACATTACGCTACTGGTGTTGACAGACAAAGAATCAGAATCTAGGAACCTAGGATTCCAACACACAATCAGCGGGTCCTGTACCTCACCCCTTCCCTCCCAGAGGCTTCCACCCTCCTCTCCGAACACCCGACCTTACCTGTGACACTGACGGTGACAAGACAGCTGCTGGAAAGGCCGTGGGAGTTGGTGACAGTGTAGCGGACGGTGGTGCAGCCTTCACTGAAGATATTGCCGTGGGGCAGATTTCTGACCGATAGTCTGGGAAAATAGTAAAAGATCTCTAGACAAGTGACAGTCTGCCCAGTGTTCAGGAACGACTGAGTTCACACAATCGCCATAGGTAACCCGATCCCGCACTTTGCACAAATGTTCTCTCGCTGATAGCTTGAATTTGATTGGTCGGCGATTTGGATCTGATTCCAAGAGAACGTATAGTATACTGGATAATCGCGGCATGATGTAAACAAGTACTGTCAAACACCTTTGTGTCGAAGTTGAAGGGACCTGCATTTGTACTTCGAGTTATCTGATGTTCGACCCAACCGAAAACATGAATGAAGTAAGAAAACGATGAAACCATGCTTTTACTTCAAGACGAGCGTAAGATCGTCAAATTAAGGTTCGACACAACGGTGTTCGACTGTATGACAGTCTCCATTTGCGTCGAATGTCTCCTGTGTTCATGTAAGACTGACTCACTTTACAGAGGACCCCTCGGGATCGCTGTACTTCGGAGTGGGGATCTTGACAACCTGGGACGTTGACCTGTGGTCAGCGGACACATGAATGTTGGCTGGACACGTAATGACTGGGTGCACTGTGTGATGTTGGTCTAGTTTCACAGAAATAATTTGAAAATATACAGTTTGCTAGCGGTACATTTATATGTATACATCCATTCAGTATTTATTGGAAACATGAGAAGACAAGGATTAGAGGACAAAATCCTTGCACGAAGCCTAAATTTGCTACTTTGGAATCATAAAATATGTAAACAAAATGTGTCGTTAGTTACGTTGTTGTGAAATTTCTCTTGTTACTTCGTAATTTCGATTATTTTGTCATCTTATCCTAAGAAGTCGAAAATTCGAAATTGTTCTTGCTTCGATTTTTTACTCGGAAGTTTGGTATTTTAAAAAAACCCAAAACAATCAAGTAATTTAAATAACGTGAAATTGTGGTTTAAATTTATCCTACCAAAGAAGCACGTGTATTTTTGTTGTCTTTATTGTTCCATGATACAAATATAGACATTTAAGTGCTCTTACTCTGCCTTGTAGATATGAAACTATTAATTGTAGGATATTCAATAAATGTTTACAATGCACTCTTTTCTCAGTTCGGAATTTCATACTAAGAAGATGTGCATTTTATCTTCAACAGCAGAATACGGTTCTTCTATGAATATAGGTACTGCTGTACATTGTAAATCGAGTTATCTGCGAGTTATCCATGCTTCGAGACAACCGGAGTGTAGTGTATTTAGGATAAATAATACGCGAGAGACCGGACAGATAGACAGATCTAATCAAATGTATAGGATTCCGTATAGGATTCCAACATATTAACATTCATTCCAAACATATATTTTTACAGTGTATGTTTTGAGATACCAGGGAAGACCTCTGTTTACCTCTGTGGTGCTGCATGCTTTGACAGAAGAAACAGCATCGTCCCAAGATGCCAGAGATGACGTCATGGACGCCATGTGAAAAGCCAGAGGCATGGTGAAGGCCACCGTCCAGCACGTGGACAGCCGCCGTCCTGCATGAGTCCGCTCTGTGCAGGAGGAGGTGGCCCCCACTCGTCACGTACCCACTAGCACCTCCTGGGGGAACAACACATCATCATCATCATCATCATCATCATCATGATGTTTTCTTCGTCATCTCCGTTATAATCTACATTTACAACACCATCATAACATTTCACCGCCCAGCTACTTCTGCAACAAAACACCTTGAAGGTGTCATCATAATTATCATTCATTGATAGTGAGTGAGTGAGTGAGTGAGTAAGAGAGTGAGTATGATGTTATGACGCTCTTAGCAAGGTTCTATCACAATCGCGGCGGGGGACATGGGTTTCGCACATTCAAGCCATGTGGAGAATCGAACCCGGGTCTTAGCCTCTATGCTACTCCTCTGCCCGTCACCCATTTATACAATCACCGTCCACCACCATGCTGCGTTTGTTGCCAAACATCTTCAAAGTTATCACTATTATCATTCTCATCATGGTCTTTTATACATCACGTAAGTCCCAAAACTTTCAAAGTAAAATGTAAATTTACCATTTTTACACGTAGTATCTTTGTTCTTTTAACAGCGGCTGAAGTGATGGTGTAAATCCAGCTAGGATCCATGCAGGTAGCAAAAGTAATGTAAGTCCCCATTGTTCCTAGTATGGTGATCTACCTTCAGTTGTTGGCGATCTATAGCCCGTGTTTTATACTGTATTGTCCTCTTTAATTGAAATGTTTTAGCTTTGCTCGCTAGTTTTATTCATATCTGTGATTCTCTAGTATTTTTACTGTCCATCGTCGACAGGTTTTAATCTTCAAAATGTTTTCTCTTTATATTGTATAAATTGTTTTCGTCACGATATGCCTTAGATATTGCCGATGTGACGTTAAATAATAACTCACTCACTTTTTTTATACATCTCCCGTACAATGTCTCACAGATCATGAAGGCTGACCACCAGGAGAATCAACATCAACATAATAACGCCAAATTGCCTCTTTTAGGGTACACCTATATATAGATTTCCTGATTTAGACATGGTAAGAATATGGAAATAATAATGAAATGACGTCATCGTGTTGTTTTTGCCCTTCATTCCACAATGTTAGTTGTTTTGTTGTTTTACGCCGCACTCAGCAACATTCCAGCTATATGGCGGCGCTGTGTAAATAATCGAGTCTGGACCAGACAATCCAGTGACTAAGAGAATGAGCATCGATCTACGCAATTGGGATACGATGACATGGACCTGACCGCCCGATCCCGTTAGTCGCCTCTTACGACCAATTCTAAGCCGGATCTTCACGGGTTCACAGTGCTAGTTACTGTGCGTATACAGAACAATTTCTCCATGCTCCACCAGTCAATTTGCATGGCACTCAACATGGACGACCTTGGGTGTTGCTCATGATTTCAATCACTGGTTTGTTTGACCCACATTTCATTATTTACAACCCGCCTTCGTTGCAATGGAATATTTAGCTATACATGAACCAATCAAATTTGGACCATGATCATTTCTACAGTTCACGTACCTAGAAACCTTTCTGTGTAACCTCCGAAAGAGTGAAAGGAGATCCCGATGCTGTGGGAAGTGTCTGTGATGACGTGTCCGGAATGACTAGAATGCCTCTTCTCCTCCTCTAGGATACACCAAAACAGAGTGATATAGTGAGTTAGTGAGTGAGTTGTGTTTAACGCCGCCTTAAGCAATATTCCAGCAATATCACGCGGAGGACACCAGAAATGGGCTTCACACATTGTACGTAGATTCGAACCCAGTCCTTCTTCGTGACGAGCGAACGCTTTCACCACGAGGCAAGCCCACCGCCCCATACAGCCAGTACACATTATACACTTGCTCATGATTGTTAAAACGAGTGGGTACGACTATATAGTGTTTAAGATCAAATCAAGGACAAATACGATAAAATCGATGCAAAAACAATTACAACAAACACAATACAACAATAAAAGACCAATATTTTACAATGATACAATAATATCTTATTCCAGAACTGGTGATATGGTGACTATATTAATATTTAGTATTCAGTATTTAACATCGCGTTGTTTGAACAGTTGTTCTTGAAAGAGTGAGCGCGTGAGTCTGGTTCTACGTCGATTTTAGCAATATTCCAGCAACATCACGTCGGGGGACACCATAAATGGGCTTCACACATTGTACCCATGTGGGGAATCGAACCGAGTCTTCGGCGTGACGATCGGACGGTTTAACCACTGGGCTACCCCACCGCCCCCATATTGAAAGAACTGGCTACTCACCACATCTTGATGAAACAACGAGTGCCACGAGAATCAGGAATGGTAATAACCTCTGGAATAGGAAAGAGTAACTGCAATTCTAAGGTGAAACACACACCATGTGAGGATATGGCTTCACTCAAATAGGATACCGGTGGCCTCACTCTCGACTTCATATCTTAGATCTAATTTTCTTCTCTTCAATTGAACATCAATCTCATGCTCTTAACAGCATGCTCTATAGAAACGTGTTAATGGCACTTATATATCCCGGTATCAGGGGCTTTCGACGATGTAAGACAAAAACATAATTTTTATCTGTAATATCATTTGAAGTTTTAATTTTACTAACCTTGGGTGATGAAGGATATATTCATCTATTTCACACAAAAATATCAAGTGTTTCCTACAAAAATAAGCTTGATGACATCGTATCGGCGAAACTGTTGCCGTTCGCCACATCCGTGGATTTTGTATGGGTTTTCGACGATGAGCCATACTTTTCGCTCCGCACTGCGAGGGAGTGTTGTGATAACGTGGCTTTCTATTTAAATATTGCCTGTCACCAGCAGACGAATGATCTTACTGAATTTTCGCCTGCTATTTTTTGTTATAAAGGCAATTGATTTTGCATCTGAAGTGGTATCAACGATCTCGGGTAAATAATATTGATGCTTGTTTGCTTTTTAAACAACTTAACTTCCGGTTTTCAATTATCAATACAACTTCTCACGACCGTGACTGGGCATCCGCCCTGCCGATGAAGTTGCTTGTGCTCACCGATCGCGCACGTACTCCCCCGATATAGCGCCAGCAACGCAATCATCGAAAACACCAGAACGTCGAATTCAGCTCGCTTTGGGAGGAGATAATATAACATCTACGTCTACGTTACTTAAACATGGCTTAATGAAATATCACAGATTTGTTTGACTTTCAATAGTGAGGTACTATCAGTACATTCAATAAAGTACATCTACATTGAAATATGTTCAAGGTTTGTTAAATATTTTTGGGCTTTTGTGCCAAATGTAAATTGCTGCCAAACAGTTTGACACACACACACACACACACACACACGCACGCACACACACGCACGCACGCACGGATGGAAGTGTTTTTTCTACGTGGACGTAGATGAAAGAACCATCTGCGTTGATCTCCTTCGAAGGTGTAAGTATGATCTACATAAGTTTCTCTCCGGACAAACATTGGTTTGCTTAATGCCCAATCAGCAATGTCACTACGCCACGCAAACAATCTTATTAATTAAGATTGTAATGTTTTCTGCCGATAAATCATTGTTTAAAGTTAGAGGGAGCTAAGATCCGATTTAATGAGAGTGGCTTGTACATAATCCGGGATGGGCTAGACAAACATATTACTTTTGTTTGTTGTTTAACGAGCACTCAGTATTTAAGCTGTAGGGTGTCGGTCAGCAAGTAAACGAAAATGGACTGGTGAAACCAGAGGTTGACATCATGACCACCGATCTATTGGAAACGATGACATTCAACCACCAAATGACCGAATCGAAACTCGACTTCGTAAGTCGGAAAACATGGAGAGCTGTAATAAAACAATTCTAGACAGGATTTTCATGGCGATGTTTGGCAATATAATCATCCATACGTACAACCTGGTACCATGTCACGCTACCAGCCAAGCCATAGAGCCAGACTACAGGATCCAGTCGCCTTAAAACTCTGAGATAACCCCAGATAAAACTCTCCCGTTGAACAAACGGTTATTCACTCTTCCTATCAAGCACAATATCTAGTGCAAGTCAAGTAAGAACGAACTATGAAGTTTTAAACAATTTTCACACAAACTTACCATTGCAGCGTCACTGTGAGAGTAACAGTATGTAAGATTATGACCTAGCAGATTACGCCGAGAGTCGTTAAAAATATATGGTGTTTGTGTGTTGGTAACGTCGCTTTCAGAATGTTCCAGATGTGTTGGCGGTCTACATATGATCAAGTCTGGATCAGAGAAGAAGTGATTGGACCCGTGAAGGTCCGAGTTAGAATGAACCTTCAGTAACCCATGCTTGTCGTAAGAGGCGACTAACGGGATCGGGTGGTCTGGCTCGCTGACTTGGTTGGCACATGTCATCGGTTCCCAATTGCGCAGATCGATGCTCATGCTGTTGATCACTGGATTGTCTGGTCCAGACTCGATTATTTACAGACCGCCGCCATATAGCTGGAATATTGCTGAGTGCAGCGTGAAACTAAACTCACTCAAAAGTGATTGATATCACGAGCAACGTCAACGCCGCCAATGGGCAGGCTACTGATTGAAGATCGTACAAACATAATGTGGCATGTTCTAGATGGGTTACAAGCCAGGGCCTCGATCCACAACGCATTTGTAACGTTATTACCTGTCGTAACTCAGCTTACCATAGGCCTAAAACTGACTGACTGACTGAGTTTGGTTTTACGCCGCTTTTAGCAATAGTCCAGCAATATCACGGCAGGGGACACCAGAAATGGGCTTCACACATTGTACCCATGTGGGGATTCGAACCCGGGTCTTCGGCGTGACGAGCCAACGCTTTAACCACTGGGCTGCCCCACCGCCCCCATAGGCTTAAGACTGACTGACTGACTGAGTTTGGTTTTACGCCGCTTTTAGCAATATTCTAGCAACATCACGGCGGGGGACACCAGAAATGGGCTTCACACATTGTACCCATGTGGGGATTCGAACCCGGGTCTTCGGCGTGACGAGCCAACGCTTTAACCACTGGGCTACCCCACCGCCCCATAGGCTTAAGACTGACTGACTGACTGACTGAGTTTGGTTATACGCCGCTTTTAGCAATAGTCCAGCAACATCACGGCGGGGGACACCAGAAATGGGCTTCACACATTGTACCCATGTGGGGATTCGAACCCGGGTCTTCGGCGTTACGAGCCAACGCTTTAACCACTGGGCTGCCCCACCGCCCCCATAGGCTTAAGACTGACTGACTGACTGACTGAGTTTGGTTATACGCCGCTTTTAGCAATATTCCAGCAACATCACGGCGGGGGACACCAGAAATGGGCTTCACACATTGTACCCATGTGGGGATTCGAACCCGGGTCTTCGGCGTGACGAGCCAACGCTTTAACCACTGGGCTGCCCCACCGCCCCCATAGGCTTAAGAACGTCACTGAGCTACGAACGCTTTGTGGATTGGGACCCTGCTTAATATACTACCCATAGTTGGCTTCGGATCACCACTTTCAAAGGATATACGTCAGAAAATCACGAAAACAAATTCACTGGAGCACAGTCGTGATCTTCCCGACTGGAGTGATCTTCAGCCCTATCCTGGACGTCATGTCAGGTCAATCGGATGCCAACAGGATGCCAAAGCATGCCCTCCGTAACCGGAGACGAGCTCCACGTAGACGATTACGCACACTCTGACAAGTAACATGAACGCAACTGGCGCTCCGCGGGTTGATTAGCATTGTGTTGGATTTAAAAAGAGTTGCTTACTGGATGATGAGAATACCGTATTTCGTATTGTAAACCGACCGACCGAACTTTAGATCACGGCGGCTACGCATGGGGCGGATCCAGGACTTTGGAGAAGGGGATGCGTGTGTGTGCACATAAATCATGAAGTCCAAAGGTTAGGGGGAAATGCTCTTCAGGGAAAATATTTTCGGTCGGGGGAGGGGTGGGGGGTTAGGTAATGCTGGGAACTTGGCATACAGTAAACTACGGTTATATCGAAGTCAAAAGGTTCGTTTTAACCATAGTTCATACACGTTTACACATTTCGATTGAAAATATACTGCACGTGTACGGGACAAAAAGCACCAGTTCGTTATATCTGTCAGTTCGTTTTAAGCGTGTACGTTATAAACGTAGCTAGCTGTATTTGCCTCCTTTCAAATGGTAGAGACCGTGGGACTGCGAGATCGTGATAATGTCCCTTACGGTATTCCATACACCAAGAACAAAGCGCAAAGTCGTCCGTTTACATTCGTCATTACTCGACCCTTTCCGTAACTTGCCATTCGACTTGTCCCGGAAAACACGAGTGGGTCATGAATGTAACCAATGTTCAGATTGCTATCACTGCACAAAACATGTCTGAGATCAACCACCTTTCACGGTCAACAGTAGTAATGGAGTCCTTGTTATGTAGCCGGAGGCAGCTGTAACCATCAACAATTAACAAACAACAAAACAACACCCTTTGAACTGACGGCTTGTTTGAATATATTACAATATATAGGGTTTTTTATGATTTACCATATGGTTGTGACAAATCAGGGAGAAAACTCAAATCTGGGGTTCAAACATAGAGATATTAGATCAATTAGAGGAAGCAAACTGTCACACCTTGAACCACTGGGCCACTCATACAACACAGGTCATTGTTAGGGGTTTAACTTGAACAGAAACAATATGGCTGCCATGGCTACCATTTTTCATGGTAAAACAGGTCAAGATAATGTGTGCATGTTAGAGACAACATTCCTTCCATGAACCATTCAGGTATGAAAAAGACCCTGATAAGCAAACGATAAGCAGCTTTGTGGTTGCACACTAGTGATAAGTACATAAAAGTACATCTAACTATAACACACCTAGATTGTAGCCAATCTGCATAATTCTTGTAGAGTTGCATCATATGCTATAAGGGTCACTGTATTAAAAACAAGTGTAGAAGTGAGCATAGCTCACATACCCCCGCTTCCCACTTTGGGACCTGGAAATGACTGATATTGATATATACTAGGCACATAAAGAAACTCTGCATACAAAAATTTAAAATATAAATTTATCAAACCTGTGTAGACACATAAGGATTCAAACGAATGCCACACAATACTGTCAACTTGGAAAGCTCAACCCCTGCCCTTGCGATCGTTCAAAAAATTAAACGGCTATTGAAACGCATAGCAAGCCAAGGCTCACGTCTGCACAACGTCATGAGGCCATTGGGATGGTCCGTGGGGGAATGTCGCAACGACAAGTGGATGCACATTTCCACTGCCACAAGAACACCATTTCTGCACTGGTGAAACGCTACCAGAACACAAATGACGTCATCGATCGGCCACGTTCTGGACGTCCACGTGTAACAACGCCAAGACAGGACAGATGGATAAGGGTGACCCATCTTCGCCACAGGTTTCAGACTGCAGTGATGACTGCCCGAACCATCCCAGGACTTCGCCGTATCCACCCCAACACAGTTCGACAACGTTTGCGTCATCACGGGATCAGACCACGACGTCCCGCCATACGGTCTATCCTGACACAACGTCATCGACAAGCTCGCCAAATGTGGTGCCGAAATCATGTCCTTGTTTTGGTGGAGAAATGTTGTTTTTACAGATGAGTCCAGGTTTAATATTTCCCATAGTGATGGACGTCAATGTGCCTATAAGACGCGTGGGAGAACGTTATGCACAGGCCTGTGTCTTGGAGAGGAATCGCTTTGGTGGTGGTTCCGTGATGATTTGGGGTGGAATAACAGCACGCCAAAGAACTCCTTTGGTGATTGTTCAGGGCAACTTAACTGGTGTGGGCTACAGGGATCAGATTCTTCGACCTGTGGCAATTGCTTTTATGCAACGTCATGGCCCTGGGTTAACATTCCAACAGGACAATGCCCGCCCTCATACGGCAAGGGTTGCTATGGATTGCTTGCAACACCACAACGTTTACTTACTGCCTTGGCCTGCAAATTCACCGGATCTCTCCCCGATAGAGCATGTTTGGGACGAGATGGATCGACGTCTACCTCATCCGCCAGATAACGTCCTTGACCTTGCAACAGAACTTGAGAGAATCTGGCGTGACATCCCACAAGCCTTCCTTGCACGTTTGATAGGCTCTATGCGTCATCAATGCGCTGCTGTTCTCAATGCCGATGGTGGACATACCCGTTATTGAGCTTGTGACATGGTCGTTTGTTCCCTGTCCCGCTTGTGGACTCGTGACGTCATTGTGATTGACTTTTCAATTGAAATTCTCCCGACTTGTTATGGTCTCATGATCCCTCCATTAAAGTTTATATGTACCTTTGACATTGTTATCGTACTTATCAACTGGGATAATATTTTGACAATGCACAGTTTCTTTATGTGGCTAGTATATATAATGTGACAAGGATCAGCAGCTCACAAGACTTTCTCCTTGACTCTACTAAACTTTATATACATGTTAGATAATAGTTTTGCCATGTACTGATTACAGTAATAATTTATGGAAACATTATTTTTTTGTGTTTTCCGTGGAAACCTGACATACAACTGAACTTGACTGTCTCATGTTGCACACAATAAAGTGGACGTTGGTGAAGATTGTTACTGACTCTCATGTTGCACACAATGAAGTGGACATAGATGAAGAATGTCACTGACTCATGTTGCACACAATAAAGTGGACGTTGGTGAAGAATGTTACTGACTCTCATGTTGCACACATTTAAAATTTAAAATAGCAAAAGGCACATCAATGGGTAATGATTAACATGTGTGTGAAGTTTGGTGAACCTAGCATGTAAACTTTAAGAGATATGCTCCGGACAAAACCATCAAATACATTTGGCACTAAGTCGTGTTTCCATGGAAACAGTAAAAAAAACCAAACTTCTGAAAAAACTATAAAATAGCAAAAGGCACATCAATGGGTAATGATTAACATGTGTGTGAAGTTTGGTGAACCTAGCATGTAAACTTTAAGAGATATGCTCCGGACAAAGTTTCGGGACGGAAGGATGGACAGACAGACGGACGGACAGAATGAACACTATATACCCCCGTTTCTTCGTAGTGGGGGTATAATAACCCGTTATGTTAATTCCTGACATCAAATTTGTAAGAAATGGCAATATATATTCTTC